GTAAGAGAGCCAGTGTGGTGTAGTGGTTAAGAGCGGTAGTCTCGTAATCTGGGGAACCGGGTTCGTGTCCCCGCTCCTCCACATGCAGCTGCTGGGTGACCTTGGGCCAGTCACACTTCTCTGAAGTCTCTCAGCCCCACTCACCTCACAGAGTGTTTGTTGTGGTGGAGGAAGGGAAAGGAGATTGTTAGCCACTTTGAGGCTCCTTAAGGGGAGTGAAAGGCGGGATATCAAATCCAAACAAGAAGAAGAAGAAGAAGAAGAAGAAGAAGAAGAAGAAGAAGAAGAAGAAGAAGAAGAAGAAGAAGAAGAAGAAGAAGAAGAAACTTTATTTGTACCCCACCCTCCCTGGCCAGAGCCGGGCTCAGAGCGGCTAACATCATATAAGTAAATAAGAGGTGGCATCATTACCATCAGAAAGTATGCTTTGTAGGTGCAACAATGCCAACACTTTGCTGAATTAAGCAGGCCTGGGTCTGAGATCTATTGGGAATTACATGCATGTTGCTCACTTACACACTATTAGCCAATCTTCAGGATCACAGCAGGGCATAAATGAGGAGCCTGTATCCACTAAGCCAATTTGACCCTTTTTGCAGTGTGGGTCTGGCCCAAGACACCTTGCTACCTGCTTGAAGCAGAGCCCAAATGGGCGCCCCCGTCCATCAGAAGTAGAGTAATCAGAGATTGATATCAATGCTGCTCAGACAGAATCCTTATTACCAGAGGTCCAATTTGATGTTTAGCATTTATAAATCTCCCTCTCAAAGTGACTTTTGAACACACAATTGATGCACAAACTGAGAGTATTCAGAGGCCAATTTAAAAGCGATGCTTATTTTAATTTGGTATGATTTTGTGACTTCCGTTAATATCCAGGAGCATGGCAAATCTTCCACCAACAGCTTTTAAACAGATATGGTTGATATATTCTATCTGGTTAATATTTTACGGCCTTTTAAACGTGTTTATGGGAGAAGAGTTATTATTTTGTTTCTTGTTTTAACTATTTATTTTGTGGACCACTCTGAGATCTTCGGATAATGAGCGGTATATAAATTGAATAAATAAGAACAAGAAAAAGAATAATGGTTATTTTTACACTTTTTGTCCCTTTTCTGTGTCTTCTTTATTCTGAACCTCTGTACTCTGTAAAGGATGCTGTATATTTTGTATTGCCTGCTATTGAAATCAAAAAGAATGCAAACTAGAAAGTTTTGCCTTTAAATGTGAACTGAGACCATTTCTTCCTCCATTCCTAGGTATGGAGGAGGCAGCAGGACCAGCCAGACAGCAGGACTGCTGGCCTTGGTTACAAATGCCAGGTGTAAGTATAAATTAGTATCTTTCCCCCTCAGGTTCAATAAAAAAAAAGTTTGAAAGCTCATTTAGTCTTCTTCAGCAGTGTGAGTTTTATGCAGTGTCTCACGGTCAAGGGTTTCTTTCCTGAGAGCAATAAGTGAGATATCCTAACTTTTACAAAGGAGCACCTGTGACCTACTTCATGTCTAGACTTTGTTCCTTTCACTTTTGGTTTCAAGCACTGAACCAACTGTAGTATTAACACAGCTCCCTATTCTTATCAACTGGCCACTGATCCTTTTGCTGACTCGCCCTGCTCTCTGCTGTAGCTGATATAAACTTCTGAGGTCCATTTGTTAGTCATCATCCTACTAGGAAGAAGTCATTGGGGGTACATGCAGCTCTATAAAATCCTTCCTTGGAAGTTAACATTGAGACACAATTCAATGCTGGCAAAAGTAGTTAGGTAACCCAAGGCTAATAGCAAAACTGTGGCAGATATAACTTTTCTAACAAATAATGAGGTCTCAGGGAAGAAAAAATTTCCCGGAGACACTTGGCCGACTTACTGAAAATCTGAAGTACCCAATCACTGCTTTTAGGACTTTCTTTTTTAATCTTCTTGCTATTTAAATAAGCAGCATGCATATATATATATATACTCCTCAGCTGGCAGAGGTGCCGTACAGTGGTCTTGGTTCCTGCTTGGGAATAGGTGGATATACTGAGGGTGTTAAAGGAAGACACAGACACAAGTACAGACTGTTCCAGTTCTTGTAATTGTGTGGGGGTAAGGTACCAGAACTGGGGCAAGTTCTAAAATTGGTTAGAACTTAGACATAACACTGCTCCTCCCCACCTTCTGATGATGATGCATTGGTTGCCCCACACATTCCCACTTCCCCTTCCCGTGTTCAAACTGGGTGCCTAAAGAAAGCTGGTCCCATCTCACTCTGAGTCCTGCGGGGCATAGTCCCTGTTCTCTGTCTGGCCCATTTTCATCTAGGCTGAGAGTGCAAAGCCATCACCAAGGCCAGCTATAAAGGCTGCTTCTGCTGCTCAAGGAGCCTGAAAACCATCATGGTGGGGGATTGTTTAGTGGTTGTTGGTGAAGATCAAAATGTGTTTTTGGAGAGGCATTGTTTTTGCTATTATGTGGATTGTTTTATTATTTTATTATTAGATGTTATTTATTATAAGTTATCAGTGAATCATTTGATTTTTTTATTAATATGAGATATTTCCATTACTCCATCGTTTATATGATCATCTACATTTTGTTGAACCTTGGAATAGTTAGTGACTTATCTTGTGTAAACTCTTCAATGTGGACCACTCTGAGCATGGCTTACCATGGAAAAGGGGCATACAAAAATTATGATGCTATGCTAACTGCGGTGTTGTTTTTGCTTGCATAAAAATGTGATCCTCTGTATAACTGCATCCTTCCATAATGACCAGTTGTTCCACAAATGGCAGGCTTCTCGAGCTTCTTCATTCAAGTATTTAGCTGCACGATGACAAGCAGGTGGCTAATCCAGCTTTAATATTTTTCAACCTATCCTACTAATACGACAATAAATTTGATTTCAAGCTGTGCAAAAGCCTGAGAGCATTAAAACTGTATCTGTCCTCCACTGAAAAGATGCTGCCTGGTATTCAACAGACGAGGTAAAATAAATAGTCTCAATAAACCCCTGTGTTTCATTTCAACACTTTCCTGAAACAAGATCAAAGGCAATTTGGCACAACGTTAGAGTGTGGAAATGTATTCAGTGAAATGGTTTAGTACAGTTGGCTTTCGTTCCCACCTGAATAAAGAAATCAGAATTTGCAGGGCAAACCTGTACACATCTACTCAGAAGTAAGTCCCACTGAGATCAATGAGGCATACTGCCAGGTGTAGTTGGTGAAATGTTTTGGTTCACATGTGGGTGCAGGAAGTGCAAATTAGGTGGGTTTGCATTCAAATGGAAAGTACATTTATTTCTCACCATTCCTATCAGGGAGTGGAGTTTGTCCTTCCATGCTACTGGCCATGCCACCTTCAAAGGTGTCTTGAGTCTGACACAGTAGGGCACCACCTTTCTTTTTAGTGCCCTGTCCATGCAAAAGAAACCAAATAAAAATGTGGGCAAAACAAAAGTCTAAACTATTCTTAAAACTATCAAATATTTATGTGTTGCTGTATACAGTCCTCAGTCTCAAGAATCTCAGAGAAGCCCTCAGTAACTCTGAACAGAAGTTATAGGACTGGCATAATATTCCATTAACTCACACGTGGTTAATCAATGTGGTTTGTTCCTATGTGAATGATCAGTGATGGCAAACACCTATGGGTATAATATTTTGTAACATAGTTTGTCACACTTACAGCATTGATTCATTTTGACAACATTAATACCTTGGCATTTTCCTTTATTGTTTCTAATTAGGGTAGGCAAATGGCTTTTCCCAGAGTGAATCAATATGATACAGTTGGTGAAATGTAAAATGTATGTTAAACCTGAATTCATTGTAATTTTTTTGCAAATGGCCATCAATCAGTATTAAAATATTAGCACAGCAATTAAAAAAAATATCAATCCAGTGTCTGCCATTGTTCACCCTCAAATGAATCTGTACAGAGACAAAATTGTTTTTGTGATCTTTTCTTGCCAGCAAAGCTGAAAAGTCACTTGAAAATGTAAGAGGAACACGATAAACAATTGGTTTGCATTGCTTCTTGTAGTTTGTCATATTTGAAGGGCCTTCCTCCACCATGTCTCCTCTACCTATTGAGTTGTTCTTAGAAAAAGTGTGTGAAAGAAGATGCTGCCCATTGGCACCAGCCCAGTTTTAATTCCAAGACTCCGGGTATCCCAAGTGTGCAGACTGCGGCTGCAGGCCCTTCTCCCCTCTGGTGGCTTGACCCCCGTGGTGCCAGGCCACCTGCCCCGCATGTCTGCAGCTTCAATGTGCCTTAAGTGTGCAGTGGCAGCCGCAGGGAATTGCAAGAGTCCCGCATGCCAGGAAGGCATTAGAAAACGCAAGTTTTTAGGCTGCCCCATCTATTTGTTGGGTGGTGTGTGGGAACTACTGGAATGGGCGGATCCTGACAGCGCACATATTAAATACCCCAACTTGGTAAGGTGATATTTTCCTGTGGAACGAACCTACGGAGAAGGCAGCGCCTCCCTCGGAAGATCGGGTACCATGTTCTGCGCAGGATAGAAGAACCTGATCCACGTGTGCCTCGCGGGCTCCTTCCGACGTGACCGGCGCTCACAAACCCACAGCAATTAATTACCTCATTATGCTTTGTTTTCTATAATGTTTCAAGCACATTGAGATCATTTTAGATCACGCATTTGTCCTGCTAGTTCACAACGGTTGCGGTCCTATTGATTTATTTTAGGAAGCGTTGGGGAAGAGACACTAGAGGCGGAATTTGATGTTTCCGGAAACGCCAAGAGCCAGGAAGGGGGGGGGGGCATCAGTGCACGTTGCAATTTAATGATTTCCTAAAATGTCTTTTGACTGCACGCGGATCCCCCTGCAAACGGTGAAAGGGCGGGGGGGGGTGTATATGTGTTCCTCATTTCCCTGCCCACCGTCAGTGGCAGCTGTCTTCCTGCAGGTGGCGCTGCCGCGGCAGCCAGATCGCGTTCTGCCCGAAACGGCAGAGGAATGTCCGCCGCCGCGCTCCGTCCGCGGAACGTTCTTGAGCTGACGTGTGAGTGCCAGAGGCCTCGCCGTTCCCACTCCGCCGCCTCCTCCTCCCCCCCTTTCCCCGCCCCCTCCTCGGACGCGGGGCAACCATGGCGGCTACCTGGGAAGAGATCCTGAAGTTGTCCCAGCAGTTCCAATCCGCCCAGTTCGCCCAGGCGACGCAGAGGTGAGGGGGGGAGGGGGAGGGGAGGAGCCACCCGCGAGCCCCCCTCGCGCGGACGAATCTCGCTCCTTCCACGGTATCTCGCGCGACAAGCCCGAGGCTCCTTCATTCCGTGCTCAGCAGCAGCCGCTTCAACGGCGTCCCTCTGGGCCACGACCCGTAATGCCCCTAGAAGCAGCGCAGCCCTTCAGCAGGGAAGGGGTCTCTGCTCACCTTAGTGCCGTAATGCTCTTAAGTAGGATTGCCTGTTGTTGTTGTTTTCATCCCCGCTCCACGTGCTCTGCTTTTGACAACCTTGGCATACAGAAATGCAGTACAGCGGGGCTAGAGCTTTTCCTGGCCTAGAGAAAAATGTCACCCGGATAATACTCATTTGCTAAAGGTGCTGCTGCCAAAGGCATAGGAACCAGTGAAGAAGCAGCAGCGATCCTGTCCGCCCTGGGAATCCGTGCTTTGCTCGCTACTGCCCTTTCCCACGCATCCTGCAAACGTGTCAACACGTCCCCCGTACATTTCACATTTGAACAAGCGCCCGAGGCCAGTACGTTTCCGAGCACAATTCAAAGTGTTGATGCTGACCTTTAAAACCCTAAACGGCCTCGGTCCAGTATACCTGAAGGAGCGTCTCCACCTCCATCGGTCTGCCTGGACACTGAGGTCCAGCGCCGAGGGCCTTCTGGCCATTTCCTCACTGCGAGAAGCCAAGTTACAGGGAACCATGCAGAGAGCCTTCTCAGTAGTGGCACCTGCCCTGTGGAACGCCCTCCCACCAGATGTCAAAGAGGAAAATAACTACCAAACTTTTAGAAGCCATCTAAAGGCAGCCCTGTTTAGGGAAGCTTTTAATGTTTAATAGGTTATTGTATTTTAGTGTTTTGTTGGAAGCTGACCAGAGTGGTTGGGGGGACCCAGCCAGATGGGCGGGGTATAAATAATAAATTATTATAATTATTATTATTTCCTGGTATATCGATCTCCTGTGTCGGCCTGCTTTGCAGCAGAAGCACTTGAAAGGGTCTTGTAGCTCCTGACATATCTGTTTGGGGCCTGCTCCTCATGAAGTGGACTCTTTAGTCCGTGGAAGTTGCATTCCAGTATTGTAATATGTTTGTGGGTCTTTTAAGATGCATGTACTGTAAAGCTAAAGGGCTGCACCAGCTGCAATGTTTCTGTGAAAGCACAAAAAGGGTAAGTCTTGGGCCACCTGAAAATCATTTCTGGCAGTTTCGTCAAAGTGCTTATTTTAGCAGGCTTTGCCGTTGAAAGAATTGTATTGGACCTTTGATTACTGTGATGACGGTTGAATATAAATGTGTGTGTAATATATGAGAACAGAACTAAGAAAGTATGACTCAACATACATGTTTGGACATTTTCAGAATATGTATTACTGCATGCTGTTTTGTATTATTTTTTAATATAATACTATAAAACTGAAAAGCCCATGGCAGTCCACAAGGTCTAATATTTAGCAGACAGTGTTTTTGTGAGCTTGTGATAAGGCTGGCAATTGCTTTCGTTTGTGGAATGGCCATATAACACAATACAAACTTCTGTTCCATTTAGCTGCAAAAAAGATCCATTGATGTCCATTACTCATAATTAGTGTCAGTGCATTCAGAATGGTAACCAATATTATCCAAAAACACAATACGATGTTACATTTCAAGTTCTGATATAATCTGCTGAAGATAAAAAATCTGCAGTAATTCTGTGAAAACTGCATTAGACATCCAGTGTCAAATGTACCTTGTTGTTGTTGTTTAGTTGTTTAGTCGTGTCCGACTCTTCGTGACCCCATGGACCAGAGCACACCAGGCACTCCTGTCTTCCACGGACTCCCGCAGTTTGGTCAGACTCATGTTTGTAGCTTCGAGAACACTGTCCAACCATCTCGTCCTCTGTCGTCCCCTTCTTCTTGTGCCCTCAATCTTTCCCAACATCAGGGTCTTTTCCAGGGAGTCTTCTCTTCTCATGAGGTGGCCAAAGTATTGGAGCCTCAGCTTCATGATCTGTCCTTCCAGTGAGCACTCAGGGCTGATTTCCTTCAGAATGGATGCGTTTGATCTTCTTGCAGTCCATGGGACTCTCAAGAGTCTCCTCCAGCACCATAATTCAAAAGCATCAATTCTTCGGCGATCAGCCTTCTTTATGGTCCAGCTCTCACTTCCATACATCACTACTGGGAAAACCATGGCTTTAACTATACGGACCTTTGTTGGCAAAGTGATGTCTCTGCTTTTTAAGATGCTGTCTAGGTTTGCCATCCCCTTTCTCCCAAGGAGCAGGCGTCTTTTAATTTCATGACTGCTGTCACCATCTGCAGTGATCATGGAGCCCAAGAAAGTAAAATCTCTCACTGCCTCCATTTCTTCCCCTTCTATTTGCCAGGAGGTGATGGGCCCAGTGGCCATGATCTTCGTTTTTTTGATGTTGAACTTCAGCCCATATTTTGCGCTCTCCTCTTTCACCCTCATTAAAAGGTTCTTTAATTCCTCCTCACTAGTTGCTATTCTGGTATTTGGGAAATGCCTTGGAATCTTAGGTGTGGGGAGAAAGCTGTTGGAAATCAGTATATATGAAGCTCCACAAAGTTTGATCAGCCCCAATAAACAACTTTCTTGCCTGTTTTGCACCAGTTAATCTGGAGTACAGACCCCCAGTAACGTTCCCAGTTTTATTAATATTGATAAGAATCCCTGCTTAACCTGTAAGCATGGTGTGGTGGTTGTGAAACTCACCTTTCTGCTTTCTGTTTGCAGTAAGACAGAGCGTTAAGGGATAATTTGATTGTATTGTCAATCTGTCAGAAACACTTGTTTTAACTGAAAATTTCTGTGGCATAAATAGATTGCTAAAGCTTCTCCAGATTGTCTTAGAAATGAAGTAGCACTTGTTTAAAATCAAGTTGTCAGGATCTCATGCAAGATGTTTTGCTGTTCTTTTATGTATGCAGACTGTCGGAACGTAATTGCATAGAGATCGTTTCTAAGTTGATTGCTGAAAAACAGCTGGAAGTGGTGCATACTCTTGATGGAAAAGAGTATATTACTCCTGCGCAGATTAGCAGAGAGATCCGTGATGAACTTCATGTTCATGGTGGTAAGTGTGTAAAAAATATTATTTCTAAATATGTTTACAAGCTCAACTACAGAGAAAGAAACTTTAAAGGTAATTTGCTTTGGGAAAATAAAAATATATAGAAACATGTATCCTTGCCATCGAGACATTTAAGGGTCATGATTCTAACACTATTTCATAGTGCGAATGGACTCGCCAAAGTAAAATAACCATTAGAAAGATACTCCTGTTGACATATCTTCAAGATCAGCTAGGGGTGGTGTGAAAAACAAAAGCAGCAATTCTTATTATCCAAACTGCTAGTGGCAGAACCCTAGCTTGGAAGGGACCCAGGTCTCATCTAATAATGGTAATGTTAGGTAACTTTACATTGCAGTCCCATACATGACTACTCAGAACTATGTTCCATTGAGTTCAATAGGATTCACTCCCAGATATGTGGGTATAGGACTGCAGCCTCTATGTCATTCCACTTACCTCTCAAGCTGCTACTGAATTTGGAATACTTGGTGTACATTTGTCATTTAAAAGGAACTGCAAAGAAGTATGTAGGATATTTTTATGTGGAATTGCAAGCACAGTTTAGCACTATTCTGGTATGTTACATACATTGTCTGCACTGAATGGGAAAGTTGTAAAAAACAGTGTAAACAGTTAAGTGAAACTGGAGACAGGATTGTAACAGAGAATTCAGTTGTATTTACAAAGCTGTCTAGTCTTATCTGAAAGGTGAGTAAGAGCCAAACTGTCATTAGCTATTCCATCCCTTGCATTTTTCATAAAAAGCACCCATGAGAGGCATGGGTTTGAATCAGAAGAAGGGTTTCTTACCCCCCACCCCACCCTGGCACAATTTTCTTTTTTTAAAAATGAACTTTTTCCCCATTTTGGAAGTTGCTAGTTGCCTCACTCAAGATTGGATTTGAACAGTAGCTGTGCCGCTGCTGGTAACAATTAAACTCCTAGGGTATGAGGAAAAGAATAATTGAGGGAGCTTTCTTCCTGGCAAGTATCAGTTGATATCTGAAGTTGTAGCATCCCTTTCATGCTGAGTACAGGAATAAAGGCAAAGGCCTTTTGGTTTTTCATGCCATTGTTTGTTTAGTTTAAGAACAAAGCATTAGCTACCAGCAGGCTTCATCAACATAAATCTTTTTCTTTATGCAGATTAACAGACTTATTTCAGTGGAGTTTACCATAGTGCAAATGATACAAACTCTTGTGCATGTTAATGAGCACACAACTCTTTTCACAAGCTCTTCCAATTTCATTTCAAAGTGGGGGCACTTTTATGTATAGATCTTTTTTGAAAGTTTTCCCTCCACTGATGTAAGTTGCGGTACTAGCGTGCATGGAAGATCTAGAGCATGCCTGCAAAATACTCTTTGCTATTCCAGATGTTGCTGCTGTCACCACCTTTATAGTTCACATCATGCTGGTCCAGGTATGTTTAAAGATTTCTACACAAGTGGCATGACTTTCTTCCATGTGGATGTGTAGATGCCTTTACATGTAATTGGACAAATATGCAAGAAACTTAGAGGCAGTTGCAGCTATGCTGGAAAAATTATGTATAAAGGAAGTCCTATTCACACTTCATGGTAGTAAATTCCATTTAGCAAGCAGGGTTAGTTCCCAGACAACATGCATGAAACCATGCTGGAAGTTTCAAATCAGAATGTAAAGAGTAATAAAACAGTTCATTAAAATGTACTTCCTTTGTCTATGACTTTCTATATTATGCATTAAAATCTATTTGCTAATATATTCTTTCTTTTATTACAGGTCGTGTAAACATTGTTGATTTGCAACAGGTAACTTGCTTTAAGCATAAATACTTTTTATCTGCGCTTAATTGGGCCAATTTGAAATACACATTTGTTTTTAATGGTTTTGTACCCAGAAATAAGTCTCATTGTGTTCAGTGAGGCTTACTCCTAGGTAAGTGGGTAGCGTATGGAAACCTAAATACTTACTGAATAGTGTATGGGTGGGTCCTCCCTTCCCTTTTAAGTCCCCAATCTTGCAATCTTGCAATTAGCTGACGGGTGGAGATTAAATCCTGCCTCTAGGTTACACAGTCCTGTTACCTGCTGGGAACAGGATCGCACAGCCAGTGCAGCATTAAACCCTGTCCGTCCACCCACCAGTAATGTCAGCTGGGTGGGCATCTTTTTGGGGGAAAGACCTAGCAGGCCAAATTGTCCCATGTCCTGGAGATTCCCCACCTCTGGAGTAAAGTATAAACACTTAGCTGCTAACCTATATTTCATTTTTACTAACTGTGGTGTCTCTGTAGGTTCCATTATGTTGCTCCCATTCTCTGTAATTTTATATATTATAAAATTACAGAGAATGGGAGCAACATAATCGCACTGTTCATCAACATAAGCACCCCATCACACTTGTTTTAATTTTTGAAGCCTGTTTTAGCCTATCAAGGAAGTTGGGCTTTTTAAATGTCACAGTATGCACAAATAACAATGACTGATCGCTGAAACAGTCAGGGAATTAATATTTCATTTCTGCTAACCTTTTTCCATCTGAAAGCTTCAGCTAAATTGAAGCTTTTCATAATAATTAGAGATTTTATTACATTGTGTGTTAACTTGTCTTGATTTCTATTTTCTTTTCCAATATCACATTTTCCTTTTCAGTTAAGATACACCTGTATCTGAATTATTGAAAAGTAGCTAGAGTGTAATGGTTTGTGAATGTGAAAGTGTATCATTTTAACAGTAGATGATGGATTTGAGTTCTAGATGCTAACCTGTTTTTTCTCCCCTGCAGGTAGTAAATGTAGATCTGCTCCATATTGAAAACCGAGCTAATGACCTTGTCAAATCAGACCGAACAGTTCAACTAGTATTGGGGCAGCTTATAGATGAGTGAGTTCTTTCAAGAGTGATTAAATACAGTGTAAATGTGTAATGGGCTTTTCGATGTGATTAATCCAGAATGAGGAAATGGAAGCCAATAATTATGCATTGTGTCTGAGAATGTACTCCACTGCTTTTGTACAAGCTGAGCAGTTGAAGTCATACAAACATTTGAGAACCACTTTATTGTTTAATGCTTGCTAATGCAAAGGAAGGCATTTAAACTTTCCTCATTACTGTTGAGACAAAGACAGAAAAAGCTCTGGAAAATAAATGGAGGGGGGCTTTGTGTCCCTTTTATGCCCGGTGTGTGTAGAGGAGATGGATGAGACTCCTTAGCATCAGTAGCAAGTAGTTTGCCCTCTTGGGTCGTTTGAAAGAGAGACACAGTGTGCAAGGAACTCTTACTACTTAGTGTAATGTGTATCACCTTTAAGAATCGGGTGCTGGAAAGAACAAATGGGGAGTACACAGGTCCTGCTTGCAGGCTTCCCATATGGATCTGGTTGGCAGCTGTGAGAATTAGGATGCTGGACTAAATGGGCCTTGGACAAATTACCTATATATAATGACAACCTGATTAAATCTCAGCTTATATCTAGTATTTATGCAGTGTTCTGTTGCTGACATGGACCATATGTTTGCTGTGATATCAGATATGGGTGCCATTCAGTTTAAACTCCAATATCAGCTTACGATCTTTAAGTTTTAGAAACGAGCTTCATAGGAGATATATCAAGCAACAGAATACTATGAAGAATTACATTTGCTTTATCAGTTTTGTAAAACATGAAAACTAACGGTAACTTCTGTTTGAGGGAGAATGATCGCATCTTTTACAAAGTTTGTAGTAGACGCAACATACACTTAATGTTTTCATATAGTACTATACAGTGGTACCTCGGGTTAAGTACTTAATTCGTTCTGGAGGTCCTTTCTTAACCTGAAACTGTTCTTAACCTAAAGCACCACTTTAGCTAATGGGGACTCCCGCTGCCGCTGCGTTGCCAGAGCATGATTTCTGTTCTCATCCTGAAGCAAAGTTCTTAACCCGAGGCACTATTTCTGGGTTAGCAGTCTGTAACCTGAAGCGTATGTAACCTGAAGCGTTTGTAACCCGAGGTACCACTGTATAGGATTACTAAAAGCAAATAATGTTATAGCATGCAAGGCAAATTTGGAATTTTATACTCCTTTTTTCCATATTAGGAATTACCTAGATCAGATAGCAGAAGAAACAAATGACAAGTTACAGGAATCTGGGCAAGTGAAAATATCTGATTTGTGCAAGGCATATGACCTTCCTGGAGATTTCTTGAAGCAGGTAATTAATATGAAAATGGCCAACTTTTCACTAAAGCATGTGATATTTCACCTCTCGTAACTATTATGATAAGTTCCAGTATCAAATGCACTAGCTTGTGATCTAAGTTTGACAATGCCTTTTCTTATGGTACTTAAAGTCTAACATGGTTTTAATTTGCTTATTGCTTCTAAATACTGTGACTGCAGTATTGAATCTAATTTCCTGGCAGCCACTGTGTCTAATAATAGGGAAGTGAAGCAGTCCTGATCTACTACTTCAGTAAGATTCTCTGAAAAGGCAAAAATAATTCTTAAGATCCGTAGTCATTGGTTAGCACAGACCATTGGGCTGTAGAAACTGGAAGCGTTTGTTGATTCCCCAGTGTGTTGGTTTGCAGCCAGATGAGCAAAAATGCATTTTCCTAAATTAACATACGAGGAAAATAAGGATGGTATCCATAGCACCAGGAGCAAAACTAGGCTTTATTTCACTTAGCTTAAAGACCTAGTTGGGCACACCAACCCATGCATTGGTGCGTGCACACACACACAGAGGCTGGAAGCCTCAGTGGTGCCCCTCTGGAGGCTTCACCTGGGGCAAAAAACCAACTACGCCCCCCCAATAGCTACAACACTGCATAGCACTTGCATTTCTTCCCTCCCCCTGTGTTCATCCCAATTTTTTTCTGGGGTCCCCCAACTCCAGACTTTATTTTGAGGGCATGCAGAGGGCTACAGGCAAAGGAGGAATGGGGAAAGTTCTGTTCTGCAAACCCAAGTCTCTTGCACTAGCAGAATGGGAACACTGGATAGGGCCTCAACTTAGGAAGTAAAATGGGCTACATTATGTCTTATTTACACATGAGAACCTGTTTACGTCAGTAGTACATGCAAAGTACCAAGTAATGTAATTGCATGTGATCTAATACTGGTACAACTTCAGGTATTCTGTCACTGAAGTTCATATTGTTTTGCACAAGAGTTCTTAGAATATTGATGCAAGAACCTTAATTATACTTCAAAATTGGTCAGAGATCCCCCACATCAGATGTTTTTTCTCGGTACTAACATGGATTTCTATGTAAGAATGATAGGTGTCGATTCCTGCCTTCTGGACATCATGATGTTGTTGTTGTTGTTTGCTTTAAAACAACCATAACACAGCAGGATTCCACTTCACAGCTTCATCGATAAGGCAGCAGCAATTCAAGGTTTTCTCCCTGTTGGTCCCCAATCTTCCATTCATTCAACATTCCCTCCTGCAAGACTCTGATATGAGGAGGTGACTCTGAAATAACATTAGAGCGTTTGGCTTGGGGGTAGCATTCATTCATTCATTTATAACATTTGTTTTAAAACATGCCACCTTTTATGTTAGATTTCAGGGTTGCATACAAGGCTTATTAAGATCTTTAACTGAGTCATCTTGGCTGTCTCCAATAATCTCTGAAATGTATTTGATTAGGGCCCTGGAACTATGCCCAAGCTTGGAAAGCCCGCCTTTCTACCTCTTAAATGGCGTTTTGCCAGAAAGACCTTCATTTTTAAAGCATAGAAATGTTTTAGAATAAATAAGATGAAATCCAAATCAAAGAATGCAGACCAAAGGTTTTAGAAATCTGCTGCCATTGACAGATGGCACACAGAGCACAGCCAAAGTTTCAAGCAGAAGGATAATTCCAAGTTGCACAAATTTTTGAAACACTTATCACTCTTGAATCCATTGAGTATTGTTCAGAATGTACCAGTAGGACTACAGAATATAGAGACATCCATCAGCTGCAGAAACTTAATCCTAGTGCTATAATGTGTTCCATACTTCAGAGCTTCCTTACTGTCAAGTCCCATGATAGTAAGCAGGAATGTAAGGCTCTCTGCATTGGCTTAATTGTCTTCCTGAGCATTCAGGTTCTGAAGAGGGATCTCTTATCTATACCTAGAAGCAGTGGTGGATTAATGGTTGGTTGTAGTCTAACATCAAATCCTGTCTCAAGGCTGAATCCACATGCACGTATTAAAAGCCTGCTAAAAGCAGCATAAAGTCAAAATGTAAAAACAGTGCAACGTCAAATAGCTTCTCTGGTTAATTGCTGTGTTTATGTTCTCAGGCATTTTCCATCCGCCTGGGCAAAATTATCCATGGGAAAATTGATCAGGACAACCGAGGAGTGATTTTCACAGATGCATTTGTCACACGGCATCGGGCCCGTATCCGTGGTCTGTTCACTGCCATTACCAGGTAAATTGAAAGACACGTTTATGTTTTGGGATAAACAGCTCTGATTATCTGCTCCTTGTGTGAGATATGCATACACTTCCTGCATAAAAGCAAGATTAAATTTTCCAGAGCAAACGTAACTGTTTTTAATTACAATAGCAATGGCAACTGCATCACTTTGGCTCTGGCTTTTCATCAAAGAATCTGCTCCCATAAATAGACAAAAGTTGGACATGCTCGCTCCAACTTTTCCGATAAAAAATTCCAAATCTTTACGCAGCTACTGACGTCCCATCCTTAAACATTTCCTCCCTGCAAAATCTCCACAAATTTCTTGCCTTTAGCAGTGAAAAAACTGGAAACAAAAGACATTAGTGGTTGCATAACATATTCTAACAGTATTCTGTTTATGAAGTAGAAAGTAGCAATTTATTTTATTCCAGTATTCACAAACTTGGTGTTCGATGTGGAATAAATAAAGATATTTAAGGAAGGATTCACTGTTGTGCTAAGGTGATGGTTCCATGAGGACAAACATTTTGGCTTGCCATGTGGAAGGATCCCCCATGTGCTTTTATGGGGATCTCCCAGCCCCCCAAAACCGATTTTGGTTGTGCACAGGAAAAGGAGGGGGAAAGTCCCATTGCACATATGGAGGTCCTTCCACAGGGCTTTTGCGATGGGCAAATTGATCGGGACAACCGAGGGGTGATTTTCACAGATGCTGGATCCTGCCCAAAGTGTTTATGTATGAGTGTCCTGGTTTCTTATATATATCTATATCACTTCTCTCTTTAGACCTACGCCAATAATTAACCTAATAACTCGGCATGGATTTCAGGAGCATCTGCTTTACTGTGAGTTTTGTTCAGGCTTATTTAATGCTGATGTTTTTTGTAATTAATATCAGAAAGTGTTAAGTGAGAGGCAATTAAGATAAGGTTTGAAGCTTGCGTACCTTTTTCTTCTTTCAAAAGCAAAGTGAAACTGACCCATTAAAATGCATCTTTCATGTTTATTTGTTTTGTTTTGGGGGACCAGCACAGGAGGTGTGGTTTGTGCTGAGCTAGTTTCAGTTAAACAGTTCTGGCATTGCATGACATGCCTTATAGGGATAACCCTGCCTCATTACCAAAAGACTTTTGCAATCCTTAGGATGCGCTACCTAAACTATTCCAGCTCTTGCTTACTACACATCATTCTTGTTTGTTCCTCCTGTTCACTATCATTTAATGTAGTTTGCATTTATTTTGGCCAGCCGTTTTCTGGCTGCCCACACCTTCAACATATAGATTTTCCTTGTCCTAAACAAGAATATCTTAATTAAAGTGAAAATCAGACAGTAACTAAATGAAGCCCATATTAAATACATGCATTCAGATAATGTATTATTATTTCTTCAACACTAGTGTCTAACACCCCATGTACAAATTAGGCAAACAAAGCTGGTGCATTTTTAAAAAAATGTTTTAATAAGACATACCACCCACAAAAATGTAAATAGTGATAAAAAGAATCCATAGCACACACTGTTGCTGACTGCAAATGTCTGCTGAGACTGTGCTGAAGAAACAGCTGTTTTCCTGTGACTTCTTCCCACTTGTTAATATATAATGTACTGTATTACAGGAAGCAGATGAGAGGAGAACAGTTTAATATCTATCTATCTATCTATCTATCTATCTAGGTGTGTCTATGTGTTCAAATAAATTAACTTGCACAGAAAAAATAGAGGCCTGCATACAGGCTCTGAGTTGTGGTTGTAATCCCTGTATTTTTAATCACATATTCATAAATATTTCTAATGTTGTGGCTTCTTTGTTTCTTTTCCCAGCTATGCTGGAAGAACTTGTTAGTACTGGGCGTTTGAAAGGCACAGTGGTTGGTGGAAGGCAAGATAAGGCTGTGTTTATCCCTGACATCTACTCCAGAACACAGAGCAACTGGGTGGATTCATTTTTCAAGCAAAATGGTTATTTAGGTAACTTACCCCTTTTGAATGAACTTTTCTTTCTGAAAGTTACTGGTCAAGAGAAGCATTTTTCTTAAAGATCTCCCCCTCCCTCTGACCCTCATATATCCCATTTTTCCTCATCAGTAATGCTTGGTGCCCATTGAGACTGGTAGGGCAGGAAGGTTAGCAGTAGGCAGAGCCACTAACAGACAGAGCCAATTCTTGTTTGGTTCCCATCCTCCTCCCTCCAGAGTTTACAAAGGCAACACTAAAACTAAGGAGGAGAAAGCTGACAGTCAGCGCTAGCCTCTGTGCTGGCTGGAAGTAAAAAGACAAATAGCTGGGGGCTGACTGAGTTTTGTGGGGCAGCACCCTCCTCCCCTTAATAACCAGCCTCCACCTCTCAACACCAGTGCAGGAGATAATGCAATGCAGAACATCGCCATCCCCTGCTCCCTAGTATAGTTCCTGGGTTGGAAGAAGGATGAATTCCTGTGCTCCTCCTTGGGCCTGGATGAAGCTGTAAGCTTTGGTAATAGAGGGCAGGTTTGGAAGAGCAGACCTAGTCCCACTCTTGAATCCACACATGGCAATCCACACATGATGGGACAGCAGCGAAGGGACAAGACTGTCCCAGCTCTTCATTATTCCGTTCAGTGAAGCTATTGCTGTTGTATTGGGGAAAATGGAGGCTAGCCAGCTTCTCCTACTGGGGAGTGATATAGTGAGCAGACTTGTGGAAGGCTCCCTCCCTTGCCCACCTGACAAGTTTTACCAAGTTAACATGCAAACACCAGTTCCTGGGTTCTCTACTGCTTCAGAGTGAGCAAGAAACAAAAGCCACAGAGAGGCTGCGAAGAGGGTGGTTAGTGTCCACCGAGAGATGTCTAGCCCATTGTCCCCAGTTTTGTTTTGTTTCGGTTTAGTTTTCTTCAAAGTCAAGGACTTTCTGTAATTTTGTAGAATTTGATGCATTGTCCAGACTTGGCATCCCAGACCCTGTGAACTACATAAAGAAAAGGTACAAGTCCTTGCAGCTCTTGTTTCTGAAATCATCTTGTGTTGGTCAGGAAATTGTGGATCAAGTGGAGGCCTCCGTGGATGAAGCCATCAGCTCTGGAACGTGGGTGGATATAGCGGTATGCTCTTTGCTTTTCATTTCTTTCCACTGGCTTTATTTTCAAAAGGGGTCACAGCACAGGTCATAACTGAACTTCTTGCACTAGCGCAAGGAGATTTCCCCCCTCGTGCACACTATGCGTCATCTCCAAATCTCCTGAGAGTTGAGCAAACTTCAAGGTTGTTTGGGGTAAGAGACTTGAGAATGTTCCGTCACACAAGGGAAATCCTTGCGCTGCCAAACATTCACCACAGTGCTACATTACAACCGTTTGCCTCCAGAAGGACCCAGGTCCAATCCTTGGCATTTCCTGGTGGGGTCATGGGGGATAGATACCCTGTTTGAGATCCTGTAGAACCACTGCCAGTCACTGCCAGCAGCACAGAACCAAATGGACCAATTATCTGTCTATATAAGGAAGCTCCCCGTGTTCCTGTGTGGCAACAGAGACTATTTTATGCAGTTACACAGAGGAAAATTATACACCACAGATTTAAAGCAGTGATTACTGCAATTTGCAAGGACATGGCAGTTGAAAGGTCATCACTTGCTAGTCTCGCTTGTTCAGCTTGAGAAGCATTAAGCCCTAATTTCAAAGCATAATTTCTGCCAAATCAATATTGAGCAAGAGCTTAGGGTTGATGTGGCAGAATCTAATACTCCTTGAGATGCTATTTTTGTAGATGGGACTTCAGTTCTTAAACAAAAAAAGATTTGCTATCAAGCTTTATGTCGCAATAGACAGTACGTATTCCTGTATTCCATTTATCCAAAAGCGGCTTTTAGCTTGGTGATAGAAACTGTTCCTTATCGGGTGTGGCGGGGGGAGCTATAGAGCTTTGAAGACTGAAAGCATACTTACTCCTCCGAATAGGTGCCACATGCATTTTTAATTTACCAAAGGTAGTGTGAAAAATTGGAAGTGGAAATAAATTATGGCCTAGGCAGCTCTGAAAGAGAGTGATAAAGTCACAAATGGAATTCACAGGTTAATTCTAATACACTTGTGTGTTTTACAACATTCTGTAATTCCAGCTTAAAATTTTTCACACCACTTGCCTGTAGATTTGTGGACATATTTAGCTCACAGTTGCTTCACTGCAATAGATGACTGCAGCATTTTTGTCCAGATAGATAGAAACCAGTTTTGTACAAAGTGGCAGTAATAATTTTCCCAACAAGCTCCCTAGAAACAGGGAATTACATGTTTATCTGTCATCATCCAGGCAGAGGGCACAGACTCCTGTTATCAAATACTGCAGGTTATAAAATGCCTTTTGAATTGGCTTTATATCCTACCTGGAGTTTTTAATTTGTACATTATTTTAATGCAAACATGGCAAGTAGCTTGAAACAGCTTTGACACTTTACAAAAAGCTGTAAAGATTTATTTTGTCAAAAAGCTTTTTGATTTCCCAACCTCCCTTCTCTCAATGTCATCTTTACATTTTCAGTTTTTCTGGTTTAGAAAAATCCTGTTTATTAAAGTACATTCATCCACCTATTCACCTATTCATCTCTCTAACAAAGATTAAATGAGTAGACAGGCAGGATTTTGCATCAAGGTAACCTAAATTCTGCACCTTATTAAAGCTGATTTCTGCAGTGAGTATCAGCTCTGCAGATTGAGTCAATGCAAAGAGATGTGCATAATTTATTTTCTGCTGCAGAAAGTTATTCAGGGTAGTCAATCCCCACCTCACCTCATACTTTTGAGATTTCGCCTGGCATCGTTCAGACACCTTTCAAACCTTTTCTTGCAGTTGTAAAAACTAGCAATATTTTAAAAATAATAATCTCGGGACTGCTAAATTCTGTGCCAGGATATGAATATCATGCATGGTAGTTATACAAACAAATTTGTATATATTGTAGCCAGTTGGTTGAACAATAAATAACAATGTGGTGGTTTTCGTTTGGCTTTGCTTCTTTTGCTCCTAGCCTCTTCTTCCAAGTTCATTCTCTGTAGAAGATGCCAGCATGTTGCTCCAGCAAGTGATGAGATCCTTCAGTAAACAACCTTCAACTCTGGTCTTTGGCGACACTAATGTTGTCAGTGAGAAATTTATCAACAGCTGTGCTGATTTGTTTGGTGATCTGATGCACCAGAAAGCTGAAAAGGTTTGTTTCTGGGCGCATTGTTTTAGAAAAGGACTGCATGAGTTACAGCCGACCAAACTCAATGCCACTCACCAGTAATGCAGTGTGGCCTGTCAGGTGCTCTCTCCTTCCCCAGCTCTCTTTGCAATTTGATTCAAGCAAAATCAATATATTCATTGAGCCCTTGATAGACTAATCTCTGGCTGGTGGGCTGCATTCAGCTTGATAAGTCCCATGTTGTGCAAGCCTGTCTTTAGCACATATTAATGATGTTTTTATGTCTTTGAGCTGAACTACCTACCCATGGAATCAGCATTGTCCATCATTGTGTTTTACATTTAATTTTGTTTCTAGTTAAAAATGACACCTTTGTTTTGTAAGCTTTGTGCAACACATTTTGGGAGAATATTGGGATGCCATCACATTTGGCTCATATTCCTTGAATTTGTACATCCATTTTCCATATCTCAAGCCAGTCACTGTCAGATTCTTGGCTTTCCTACTGTGATAATCAAGAACAAAACAGCAGGTGGCAAGGAAAGGTTGTCTAGTGATTATTTCTAGGTGAGAGTACAACAAGGAAAACGGAGATATATTGCTGCATTTCAGAGTAAAATAGCAAAAAATGGGATTATTCTGTTTATATTTCTTGCATATCTTCTTCCTATCAAAACCAGCACAGCTCAGTGGATGGTGGCTAAGTTTAAGGTAATAGTGTTCTGCTAGGACCTGACAAATGGGATACCTCATGCAGATATTAGCTGAGTATGTGTCTGTCATGTGTTGCACTCTCTTATGAGTGTCTGGGACATTACGTCCATGCTAAACAGGAGGGGAGATAGTATCAGAAACCTTAAGGATTTGCAGTACGTTCCAGTGCATCTCACATGAACAGGTGCATGTATGATCTTCATTTTAGGAGATGAAAAATAACCCTGTGCACTTAATCACAGAAGAGGACCTGAAGCAGTCTGCATTTGTAGAAAATGCTTCTTCAAGTAAAAAAGACAAGAAAGATGAAAGAAGAAAGAAAGCAGCAGGTAAGAAAATGGAGGCATAAGTTACTTGGTTACTGATTCCATGGTTTCTTCTTGTTAGTTTGGCAGCTGTCCTGTTGGCATGACAAGGACTTCTCCCACATTACAGCATTGACAATAGAGACACAGGTTTTGGGAAGAAAGAGTACTGCTTCTCTTCTTTGCTGACTACTGTTAAGTTTTCACTGCTCAAGGAAATGCAAAGAAAAAGATTGTTGGAGGGAGCAGGGTAACTCTGCCATTTTACCCTGTAGCTGGACATGGGAAGCAGAACAGCTCTTCTCTCATCATCATCATCATCATCACCACCACTCACAACTTATTTATGTAGTCTTGGCCCACCGTAAGACACAATGAGAAACATTGGTTAGTTGTTTGTGGGGAAGAACATTAACATGTTAGTTGTTTGTGTTTGTGGGGAAGAACATTAGCACGTACAGTAAGAACTCAGTATTGAGTTTGCAAGAAATCCATATTGATGGGGAAAGCTCCCAAGAGAACAGAGTTTTCTAGGGCATGGTGGCTATAGAAGCTCTCTAGACAGCACTATATAAGGCAGACTCTAAAGCTGTAATTAGACGGAAGGAATTTATATTTATAGCCATTTCTCTTATTTATTAGCATTCCCCACCCCCGAACGTGTAATTAATGCAAATGTCAAGTCACACGTTTATATACCTAATGTTACCATTGCTTAGTCTGTTTATCAAACCATAAGGCTTTGGTCAGGATGTTAACGATTGTGTTCTGATAGCACAATATGATGCATGTTTACTCAGAAGTAAGCTCGTCTCTATTCAGTGGGGCTCAGAGGAAGCTGTGCCTAGGATTGCAGTCTAAAGTAAGGAATATTCATTTAATTGAGTAATTTCATTTTACAAATGAGAGGATGAAAAGGATTTGCTAGAGTTTTGAAACTATTTACACTGAATTTTTAGAATAGCCTGAATGTGATCAACCAGAGTTGTGATTGTATAGTGGAATTTATGCTGAGTGGCTCTTAACAAACTTTATCAAAGTTTGATATAATGCTTTTCTTTCAAAACAGAGTACCCATTGTATGCCAAAATTAAAACTACACTTGAATTTTACATTATTGTTTTAACATACGGGATTGGGACACTCACAAATTGCAATTATAGAATTGTCTTCTACTCAGAAATGAGACCCATTGATTTCATTGGGGCTTACTCCCAGCAAAGTGAGCATAGGGTTGTAGCCCAAGTGTTACAATTAGGTGGTATAGGGTCATTTGAAATAAAATGTGCAGATGATAGTTCTGTTCAAAAGGCAAACAGTAATCATGAATATTTCCTGTTCAGCATTGCTTGAACTGTGTTAATTTCATTGTCAGTCAGCTTAAATGCATTTCCTTTCATCTTGATTTGGAACTTGCTGTGGACATTGCTTTCTTTCATTTTACCGTTATCTTTTATTTGATTTAAGTCTGAGTCACATTTTCATAAGGATCAGTTTGCTTTACTGATGAAGTAGAAATTAGAACAAATATTGAAATACTATACTCTTAGCTCTGTCGTTCTTTTATTATGCACCCAGGTATAGTAACTCCTGTTTCCTTTCATAATATAGTCAGGGTTATTATTTTCTGTTTTTATAAGGATTTTGGTTTCATTTCATTATATTTGTCAAAGCATCACTTGACTTAGTAATACTTCACATGCTAATCAAGTAGTTTTTCCACCAGAGGGCACTGGAAGTGTGAAAAGTAGCGGTGGAGGAAACGCCAGAGAATTTAAGATCAAGAAAGCCAAGAAGAAGGGAAGAAAAGACGCTGACAGTGATGAGGAATCACAAACAAGCAGCTCAAGTTTGTAGTTTATTCTACTATAGTAACCTAATCCTTGTAGTTTTGTAAATGCAGTACTGTTGCCCTGAGTTTGTAATGAAATATTCTCCTATAAGATATCCAAATATATTAGTATGGTTATCTTTTTTTCTAAGATAATTATTTGAATTGTGACACGAAGCCTTTTAATGGTAACACAGAAATGCTACTTCAAGCAAAAATCAAGGTTAAGCACGGAACTAAAAAAAAAAAAATATGATGAAGAGAATTTAGTGAGCTGTTTTAATATGGGGCTGCAGGTGTGAGGAGGAACATGCTAGCACTCTGGTAGTGCAAAGTTCCGTTACCTGGTTTCAGGTGATTTCCATGTACTGTAGCCCAGCACGTCATAGCTGGCAATGTTTGGCAGCTTCCCCCAGCCCTCTGGAGAAGTTCTTCAGGGATGTACGGGGAGCTACAGGAAGGGAAAGGAAGATCAGTTGCATTATCTGCCTTACACTCGCACAGTGTTGAATGCAGCCCAGGATAAACTTTTTTTTTACCTGAATGCTTTAAATTGTATAACCTTTTCACATTAGAGCATCATTTCTGATATGTGTCTGGTAACATTACTTACTGCAAATGGCAATGGTGTATCCATATAATTTTAACAGCAGTTTTTTTGGGGGGAATCCCATTTTACCATGATATTTCCAAATGACTCCTGAATTAATCTAATCACAAAAGCAAACAAGGGGAGGGGAAAAAACTAGGGCTCTGTGATAAACATACAGTAGCAATTTTGAATAACGTGAATAGCAGTAGTCGGCACATGCTTATTTTTTTGTGACCTGCGGGAGTCCTGATACTAAGAGGAATGTATTTTGTGTTCTTACACGGGAGATTTCAAGAAAACTGAAGATATTAATTATGTTTCTCATGGTCATTGCAGATAAGAGCAAGCACCTCGAGATCCCTTTTCTGTCACCAGAAGAGATTGAGGATGTTTTAAGAAAACATGTAAGGGACTGTCCTGAAGAGCTTATAACAGAGCTCGCTGACCATCTAATAAGGTAATTTCAATTATTTATCTCAGTTTTGACTTAAACAGGGCCTAACACATCCTATAGCTCAATGAAAAATCAGAATTCCGGTGTTCCATCTTGCAAGGCTTTCATTCATTCATTCATTCATTCATTCATTCACAGCATTTATATCCCACTCTTCAGCCAGAAGGGCTCCCCGAGTCACTTACGTGTCAATAAAAGAAATGCAGTAACTATCAACGACTACAATCTAAAAAATTTACAACCCATAAAAAATGGAAGGGAAGATGAAATCAAGCAAACTTATGTTACCAGGTTCCCATATTAACCAAGTGTGATGAAAGCAGACAGCTCAAAGTTCGAAAGACAGGCCTTGTTGGGCCCTTGAGAAATAGCCTGCTGACCCTCCCTTCTCTGATGTGTCTGCAGCAGAAAGTTGTTGATCTCACAAAAAGCAGCTCCAAGCCAGCAAAAGAAATAATTTTTAAAGCAGTCACACAGACCAGACTCCTCCTCCTCTGTTGCCAACTGCCATTGTTAACTACTGCATCTGCAGGCTATGTGAGCGGCCTGTGTGACTGCTATTCTAGCCATTGTGTTGTGTACAAAAAAACAGTTGCAGCTGACGTTATTAAAATGCCCTTGGCTTTAAATTTTCAACTTCTGATAGGAAAGCCTGTTATTTTGTTGTTTTGAGGTTATGTAGTATTTGGAGAAATACTAGACTCTTGCTAATGTATCCCCCCCTCCCCGTTCTTTAGGCCCTTGACCAAGAGTTATCAGGAAGTTGTGCGTTCAGTATTTATGTCCTCCACTTCTACTTACTCTGGAGCTAGCAGGAAAAAGACCATCAAGGACTTGCAGGAAGAGGTGTCCACCCTGTATAATAATATCCGATTATTTGAAAAAGGAGCAAAGCATTTTACAGGTACAGCTTGGATTGTATCTAAGGTAGTGCTAGGTAACTAGTTCCAGTAGCACTAGATTTCTGCTTGAGCAACAGAACTTCCTACCCTCTCCCCATGCACACCTTAAATCTGTTCTGAGGGTTTCTTCAACCCACTAGAGCAAATATCTTCAAGCTTTTTAAACCCAACCTTCCCATTTAAACATGCATTTGGGGATCTGCTTCTCAATCTTTTACCATATATTCCCATGGTGGTAGTGCTCCTTTTACAACCCGCCTTAGAGCAGGCTGTGATCCACCAGTGGGTCCCAGCCCACCCATTGAAGCACCAGTGCTCTAGAGCAGATTTGGGGAGCGCACAGGGCACATGTGGAGGGAGGAAAGGGAAGTTTCATTGCTCAGTACTGTATATATATCCTTGCAGTAATGGATGCCACACACTTATCTTCAGAATGAATTTATGGTTTAACACACTGTTGCTGGGCAGTTTCTGATTTCAAAAAGAACTCTAAAAGACTAGAGTCGGTGATGATACTGCCCATCGATTTACTTAAACTTTTTCTTTTTTTACCTCTTTGGTTTCTATTCTTCTCCCCCTGTCTACCACAGATATTTTTGTGTGGATGTTCATTGAATTCTGCCGTTTGTGATCTGCACAGAACTGCCCATAGGAGTCAGTTTAATATTTGCTTTCTCTGCTTGAAGCAAAAGATGGCCTAGTTTGAAACATCTTGTCTGACCTTTCCAATAACATTTGCAGGTCTTTCATGCATTGTGATGCCACAGACATTTTAACACCTGTAAAAGCAGCTGGAAGCAGAGCGTAAGATGCTTTGTGGCTGGAAAAAAGGCCGAGGCCTCTCTAGATTGGCTAATGTAATATGCAAATATTTACAAATTGTCTTTTTAATCGCAGAAATTCTGTTTTGCAGATGAGACGCAAAGTAACATTGCCAAGCACATGCTGAAGACGTTTTGCACTGACATCACTAACCTCATCTTCAACTGCCTAGCTGCTGATCAAATGATGGCAGCAGAAGACTACACTGCCATTACCACTGAGGTACTTTGATACTATTTCCTATTATCTTCACAGATTCTTAAAGCAATTAGTTCATATCCCCCCCACCCTCATTGTAGAGCTGGACAAGGGGGAGGGGGGGACCTGTGCTTCTTCAGGTGTTATTGATGAACTTCAATTCCTATCAGCCCCAGCCAGCATGGCCAGTGGTCAGGGATGATGGGAGTTGTAGTCCAACAACATTTGGTTGTCTATTGGTTCCTAGACCCTGTTGTAGGGCATGGGTTCCTGTGCTTATAAGATAGCTTAGATCTCCACAACCCCTACAGACATTTTTCCAATGGTTCTCCCTGTCTGTAGGTCTCCAGCACAGTGCCTGCAGAAACTTTCTCTGCTGACCACAGAGTCCTGCCTTCACATGCTTCCCCTTGCTGAAATTAGGCTTAGAAGAAAACTTCAATTGTAGCTGATTTATTTCAAAGCAAATTGCATTTTGGGGGGCATGGCAGTACAATAAACTCGGCCCACGGTTGTGACCCTCCCTACTGACCTCACTGTACACACACAATTAAATTTCACAGAGCCCTTCTATTTGCAACAATACAAGCCTTCTTTAAAGCCTTATTGACATGAAGAAAGGGTGATTCTGAGTTAGTGGGGGGTTGCAGCTGGGAAGGAAAGGATTACTCCTTTCCTTTCTCTTATGCACCCCCCTCAAAATTGCTCCCCGCCTAACTGCAACAGAAGGCTTTTCTCAAGCCTAATTGTTATGGGGGTGATCTTCCAGGACACTATAGCTGTGGGGAGAAAATTGGCTCTTGTCAGAAGGTGACAAACACCCCATTATCTGGGGGCAGTGCAACAAAATCACTTTTTTCAAGCCTAAATGTGGTTTGTGCAGTTTGCAAGGTGCCCATGACCATTCCTCTGGTTTGCAAATATGTCACAAGGCCCAATAAGGTTGACCCCTGCAATATGAGATTAGTGTTTCTAAGACTACTTTCTTATTTTCTTTTGAGTTTATTGACCAAAACATGTTGTTCATTGGAATCTAAAATTACCTTCATTGATTTGCACACTTCTTCAAATAGATGAGGAAAAAGATTTTGAGTACTTTATCTGAAGAGACAAGAGGTCCTTTAACAAAACTCCACATTTCTCTGAATGGCAAGGTAAGTTTCAGGCATCCAATCTGCACCCACTTGCCTAAAGAAGTGTTTGTTTTATTTGGTTTGTCATTCTTAATTTAGTAATGGGTTTTGTTCTTCACATTTCCCTTAATAGTCAATTTCGAAATAGGCAAACTGTAAGCGAAATAAACTGAGAGTGAGCATTTTATTCATAGGTGTGAAAAAAGCAAGAGGGATGGGGGAAACAGTGGAGGTCACAATATAGGCAAAATATCAGATACCTCTGTGTGTAGAAGGAAGTCATGACACTCCACATTAGGTGAGCTTCTCTCAACCTGTGGAAAACCTCACACTGAATTTAAAGGAGATAATAGCTTTGCTATTCTTTTTGTTCTGCTTTTTTTGAAGAGTTTAGAAGAGTTTGTTTCCTGTCTCGATGCTGCTGCAGAAGCTTGTGATATTATGGTGAAAAAGGGTGATAAGAAGAAAGAAAGGTAATATTTTTGCAATACATAGTTTCCCTCCATAGGCTTCTACAGGTGATCACTTTTTCAGAATGATAGGTGCTTCGTTGCTGGCAAACTAGTCTTGCTACTCCAAGGAATAGGGAGATAAAAATGTTTTAATGTAAGTTAATTTTCCAGAAATGATACTTTCCAGCTTTTTGCTTATGACCTAAGCTTTCTTGGTGGGATCTAGCCATGCCCCCCCCCAAAAAAATGCTCATTTAAGATCCTTCACAGTTAGGAACTGCTTATGGAGGACAAAAGTTAAATTCAAGTCTCCTGACAAGTTACACATCTTCATTCTGTGGCTGTTTAAAATCCTTTTATATTAAGAATACATATACCTACTGACAGTGCTTTTTTTCTGGGAGGGATGCAGGAATACGGATACCCCTAAACATTTTGTGAATCTGAGTTTGGCCTCATTGATGGGCAGTATTTCAATAGGAGTAAGAAAATGAGAGTACCCCTAAACATTTTTTTAGGGGGAAAACACTGCCTACTTACCTGGTAATCCATCTCATTGAACACAATGGGTTTTATTTCTAAATGGACTTGTATATATATTGCACATGTAAAAACTTCCAGCTTATGAGTCCTAAATTTAACATTGAATGCTTTCAACTTTATTAAACTGGAATAGGAAACAGAATCCGTTAAAAAATACAGAAAGATACTTCAACAGTGTGTTTACACATACTTGTCCCCATTAAAGGTAGTTGGTTTTACTACCACGTGGCTACCAGTGGGGAGGTGCTTTAACATTATGGCCACTTAAGAGAAAAGACACATTGACGAGTTGGTGGAGTCATAACTAACTAGCTAGAAATAGCAGTATTCATAATTTATTGTCATCATAGGAGCCCTTTATCATTCTGCAAGCAGTAGCAATTAATGTTCTTGTACTGTAGTCCTGGTTTCCTAAATCTGTCCAATAGAGTCGCTTAACCTCATGGCACTTCCAACAGCATTTGGAGAAATATATGGGATGGTAGTAATGCATGACCTGAAGTTCACAGGACTCTTGCTGAATCTAAGCCAAGCCTGGTCAGAACCTGGGTAGGAGACTGCCTGGTACCCACATATGCCGCCATGATTTCCATGATAGAAGAAAGGTATAATGAGTGGATTTGGTGGCATCTATACCTCTTGGTAATATTATGCACCAGTAAATTGCTCTTTTTCATTCCTGTTAATGGGTAGAATAGTATTCAGCTTTTTAAAGTATTTGTGAAGTTGCCGTCATTATCCTTGTACTAGTATTATTATTACTAAGTTTATTCGTTTCCTTTTTGCCACAGGCAGCTCAAAACAATAGTAGTACATCTATTAAAAGCGGGAATGGGGAGAGAGGAAACATTAAAAACATGCCACCCATTCTAAAAGGCCTTAGATCATACAAATGGGAAGGTGAGAGTTTCTAGTTATGGCCTCCCAGAAGAGGAGAGTGGAACTATAGTTTTGAACTGTGGTCCAAGTCCAAAACTTTTGTTTTCAAGGAACATTGTCTTACAGATTAACTCACCGTTATCCAAATCTGCAAGTAATTAAATAGGTAAAAGCCTTTTCTCATCATACATCCTGTTTCTTGTCTCAGGCAAATCCTGTTCCAACACAGACAAGCTCTGATTGAACAGCTGAAAGTCACAGAAGATCCAGCTCTCGTTCTTCACCTGACATCAGTCTTGCTGTTCCAGTTCTCAACACACTGCATGCTTCATGCACCCGGAAGATGCGTGCCACAGATCATTACTTTCTTAAGTACAAAGATCCCAGAGGTACTTACACTGGAAAAACCAAGAAGTGTTGTAATTTGCTCTTTTCAAAAGTTGAGAAAATGCTGGCATTCACAGAAACCACTTTCTTTCTTTCTTTCTTTCTTTCTTTCTTTCTTTCTTTCTTTATTTTGACTGAAATCCTGTACACACGTTCTAGGAGTAAATTGTATGGAAATCAGTAAAAGTAAATATGTATAGGATTATATATGTGCATGCAGAGGGATGAAAGTGGACATTTCTGTGACTGGTTCAGTAATTAATTTTCACAACATAGAATTCTCATTAAGCACATATAGGGAACTATGTGTGTCAACTATATATAACAAGGGATAAAATTAGGTATGTGGTCTACTGAATTTAAGGGAAGCAACTACTGTGCAATATTATAGTGCAATGGTCTTCCAGGGAAAGTTGTAAATACGGGATGCAATATTTAAAATAGATTTTTTTTTATGATCTGCCCATTAATATTAGACAAAAATAAAATCACTCATTTGTATTTTGAAGAAATATTAAGGTTATCTTTTTTGAACGTGATTTTAATCTTGGTATATATTTTATGTGAACAGATTAGAGGTTTTGATGACTAAGCGGTATGTAAAATATGTTAAAACAGATCTCATTTGATTTGATTTGATTCTTTGAGATGGGATCATAATTATGCTTGAAGGAAGTTGCTTTTCTCACTGCGGGTTCTTTATGAACTAACACAACCACCATTTGATTATAAGTTGCTCATATTGCCTTCTTAGTAGCCACATTTTGTTTCATTTTGCAGGATCAGCATTCTCTTCTTGTCAAATACCAGGGGTTAGTAGTGAAACAGCTGATAAGTCAAAATAAGAAGATTGGGCAAGGAGACGACGACTCAGTGGATAACAACCTGAATGCAGAAGAAAGCATAGAGGCAATCCGGAAAGAACTCCAGGAGCTGGCTGGCTCTGTCAAAGACCTTGTTCTCAGGCCCAGAAAATCTTCTGTAACAGAGGAATGATAATCTTAATAAAACTCATTCAGGATGTTCAAAGAGTTGGGATGTTTTCTTTGAGGAAAACTCTGATAATGCTTGAAATAGCCTTGGCTTTTAGAAGCTGTGTTTGTAATAATTATACTACAGCACAGCAACCATGTGGTTGGCGAAAAGAACTGAAATGCTTATTGAAATTGCAAGGCAGCATAACCAAAGGGAGAATTTGTCTCTTAAAATATTTTTGTAATATCTGGCAACTGAACAAAGCATTTGTTTAGCTTTCATAGAGTTAAGAATTCTCAGTTTTGTAGGCCACAGAAACAGTGTTGGTCTCAAAGGATGGAAGACGTTGAGCATATTTTTTTAAACTGTTGGATTGGAACTTGGTGTAGGACTATGCAAGCTTTTGCGTTTCATAGAATTCTGTCTGATCTGACGAGTTCTTTGAAATCTCAAAGCCTACATATTCACCAAATATGTTCTCGCACAATGCTTGTGTTTTCCTTACATAAAGAGATGCCATTTATTCAAAAGGTTGTTGCTTATATGCAAATGGAAGGTGTCCTTACATTTCTGTTAACGGGACATTCTCAGAGATAGAAGGGGAGAAAACAACCCCCTCCCCCGAGCAGCCCTTGCATTTCTCCGTCCTTTGCTACAGAGACCTGCCAACTCTCCAGAGTTGATTTCTATGAGGTATAGGGGGCTTCAGAGAGAAGAAACAATTGGCTAAATTTTCACCTGTAAGAGTTCTACTACTCAGGAGTCAATCATATATCTCTGTATTCTGTATTTTTCCTTTCCAAATTACTAACCACTTTAAAAATGAAATGTCACTAGAGCTTTTTTTGCACACAAATTAATTGTGTGTTTGTGTATCAGGAATACACAGTGCTCTGTGTCATTTTAACATTATGGAGAGAAATTGTTGTGGTTAAAAAAGTTAGCACCCCCAAATTATTTTAGTCCTAATATTAGCATATATAACAGTTTCCAGTTTGTTCAAATGGAGGGGGGGGCAGTGTCAGAGACACAGTTTAAGATCATTGCTAGAGGACAAATGTTGACAAATGCCCATTAAAGTGATCTCTTAAACACACTCTGTGGTGTCCCATTGCTAGATACATGTGATGTTTAATAGTATTTCACTCTCTGGTGTTTATAACTTTGTAATACATTTATTATGAGACACAATATTTAATCCATTTAAAGAAGAAAAAGCTAGGAAAAGGTTATCATTAGTTCCTATGTCAGGTCTTTGTACATGTCTTGGTTTTATTGAGCAAATTATTCTCCCGAACAGCCATTCATTGAGATTTTTGTTATTGTTTGTGCCAGCGTAACTCTTTTCATTGCTGTTCCTGCTGTTTGCTGTAATTTAGATGCATTTATACCTCTTAGGGGTATAAGTGAAATTTCCATTATATATGGAACATTTGGTTTAACAACAACAAAATAGCATTGCTGTTTTCCATTGTATTAAGTTACTTTGCAGCAACTTTGGGTTTCTGTTGTGGATGCCTGACTGCGAACAAGTTTTGATGCCAGGTTCTGCCTGCCCTTAAGCCAGCTTTCTGATTTAACTTGTGCAGATTGGCTCCAAGCCAGACAAGAGAAAGGGAGCTATGGCAAGGCAGCTGGCTCTGAAGTGGAAGCAAACTTGGATCCCTTTAAAATGTGATTGGTTTGAAATCATGGCAGGAATATCTGCCCCACTAGAACAAGTTTTAGTCTTTCCCTCCTTCCCTTTGTCATTTGCATCCCCACAGAATTTTCCATGCTGGTTCCCATTCTTAATATTTATTCATTGTTCACCTTGTATTACTCCCATCTCCTCCTGTTCATTTTTTTTCTTTCCTTCAAGTTCTCTAACATAAGCTCCCCTTGCTCAGTACTTCTGCTTTTTTCCATGAAACCCTTCTACCTTTCGTGCTTCTCTTCTGTTACTACTGTTATTGTAAAATGGAAAATGATTTTGAACGTTTGCAATGGGAATATGGGGGCAGTAAGATTGAAGATTATGTTACTCCTCTCAAAAGAATCACAGTGTTTTTCTCTCATGTGAGTTTTTGATGCACACAAAAATTCAAGCCCCTTCATCAGGGTGCCCAATTAAATTGGAATGATAAAAAAATATCTCCACAATGATGTCTGCAACCAAAGGCGACCATACTTCAACCAAATGTGTACAGGAACCTGTAGTCCATCTGAAATAAGTTGTGCGGTGTGTGTGTTTGTTTGTTTTTATGTAGCTCTTGTTACATGAACTCATTAAATGACTATATTAACCTACAGGACTTCCTTTTACTTTACACCATGTAATTGTACAAATCACGATCCGTTCTGAAGCAGACTTCCTACATCAGAAACTGGAGAGCAATAGATGACTGAGAATCACAAATCAGTAGTTTTAGAACCACATGGAAGCTGCAAGCAAGCTAAGAAGCAGGTGTCTGAAGTCTCCAGTATGCCCTGTGTCACCACCATGACCTACAATATTCAGCCTATATGGAATTCTAAACTGGGAGTGGCAGCAGGTTAACCAGTGACCCACAATGGCTTTCCAAATCTACCACATCCCGAGTTGCTAATGTATGCTAAGGATGCGCCTCTTTATCCTGGCATTTGGCACCTGAGATTGGTGTTTTCAGGACACATATTGAATTTTAAATTGTAGCCTGCCCTGCGATCTGCCAGTCAATGGCAGATGATAAATTTAATAGTAATGATAATAGTGAGAATGATAGTGGCTAGAGTTGGGAGTCCAACAACAGATTTCCCACTGCTGTCCCTCACTGAGCCTCCATTTCCAGCTTTGGTTCAGCGGATAAAGCAAATGATGAAGGCAGGTTTTTGTTAACTTTTGGACTATGGCCACAGCCTTAAAAAGTTGCATGCCTGCCAGAGTGGGTAGGGAGAACGGGGAGTACTTGGCAGAGAGGAGAAGCAGATATACTTGGTCCAGAGGTTCAAGTCTAGAAATGAATCCATTGTAAATTGATAAGGCAAGGCAAGAGATCAGAGACAGAATGTCAGCATAATCCTGTGTGTTTACCTCTGCATTAGAGCATATTGCAAATTTACCCAGGTGTGGCCCAGGTATGAGCCTAGTGAGGCTTTCACCATTTGGCGAGCCAACATGATACACCAGGGGTGGGCAACTTCAGTCCCTGAGGCCAAATGTGGCCCTTGAGGACTCTACCTGGGTTTCAAAATCCTAGGTCAGGAGCCCTAGAAGAAGAGAACAAGAAGAAGAGTTTGGATTTGATATCCCGCTTTATCACTACCCTAAGGAGTCTCAAAGCGGCTAACAATCTCCTTTCCCTTCCTCCCCCACAACAAACACTCTGTGAGGTGAGTGGCGCTGAGAGATTTCAGAGAAGTGTGACTAGCCCAAGGTCACCCAGCAGCTGCATGTGGAGGAGCAAGGAAGCGAACCCGGTTCACCAGATTACAAGTCTACCACTCTTAACCACTACACCACATTGGCTCTCTCTACACTGCAACCTCCTTGAGGGTTACTTTGCCTAGTTTGAATTTATCCTTAACTCTCATTGCTCTTTTTGCTTGCCTGAATGGAGGATCAAGAGAGCACGTAGAAAGAAGCTTGTTGTGCAAAGGTATCTTTAGCATCCTTTCACTTTAGCCCCCCCCCCCACTTGGCTGGTGTGTGGGCTGCAGGAGCTGAAAAGGGGCCTATGCCCCCCCCCCAATATGTGGACCTGCACTACTTCAGGTGCAACAGAAGCAAATATTACCTATACTTTCCCACTACTATCCCAATTTACCCAGCTATAATTTAATCTCAAGGCTGTGGAACCTATCGTATATCTGCTTAGAATGTTTCCTCTTGGTGGTTGTTGCTTCAGAGACGAGTCCCAAGGACGCTTTATGGAGTGTGGGACATTACTGCAGTCAAATGAACAATCCATGTTTTGCCAGATAGGCATGTTTTGCCAGAAGGGCCTGAGGCTCACAGAGCTGTAAAAATTTACTACAGAGAACTCTGTGAGATCACTTCCTTTGTATAAGCAGGAAGCTGGCCCTAACACTACATACTTTCTGCCTAGGCATTTCTCTCTTCTTCATGCTTCCAAGCTGACTTCACCAGGCATGTCAGCTCTGCAGCTCAGACACCATTTTTGAATGTACATTTTGTACTTTCGTAACTTAGTAGTTAGGGACACAGGTGATGCTGTGGTCTAAACCACAGAACCTCGGGCTTGCCGATCAGAAGCTCGGCAGTTCAAATCCCCACAACGGGATGAGCTCCCATTGTTCGGTCCCTGCTCCTGCCAACCTAGCAGTTCAAAAGCACGTCAGAGTGTAAGTAGATAAATAGGTACCGCTCCGGCGGGAAGGTAAACGGCATTTCTGTGTGCTGCTCTGGTTCGCCAGAAGCGGCTTAGTCATGCTGGCCACATGACCTGGAAGCTGTCTGCAGACAAACGCCAGCTCCCTCGGCCTATAGAGCGAGATGAGCGTGCAACCCCAGAGTTGTCTGCGACTGGACCTAACGGTCAGAGGTACCTTTACCTTTACCTTAGTAGTTATAAATCTGCCTTCATTTTGCTACCATAATTGCTGCTTCAAGACCTAGATTATGTAAGTAAAGGCTACTTTTATTTCTTCACAAAACAATGTTTGATTGTTGTTTTTAAGCCAGCATTAAAGCATCCTGGATTAATGCTTCTAGAAGATTAAATCAGCCTTGTCAGCTTCCAAGTTTAAGCTACAAAGGATGGTACTCTGCTGATGTGCAGCTGTCATAACATGGCAAGCGCAATTAGGGGTGGGGCTGTTCTTGTGTGCCATTTGTGACTGCTAATATTTTCAGATTTTGAAACACCTCCTCCTCCTTTCTGAAATATAAGAGCCCTTCATGGTCCTCCTACATGCTCTGTGTTTAACTCCCAACACAGACAGTATATGACAAAACAGCAAGAGACCCAGCTGTTTGAGGTCTAAAGGAAACAGAGTAATCTTCTTGGCTGCCTACTGCAGAACCAAGGAATCCCATAGGAGACAAAACAGATCTGGCAGGCTATGCTTGTTTCTCTAGGATCCCTTTCTCTGAAAATCTACAATCTTTCCTCATCCTGTCCAAGCATCAGAAGAGGCAACTGGTAGAAAAATGTGAGTATCTGAGTAACTTACATTCTCTAGCTCTCTAATATATGAAACTTGATGATTTAAAAAGTTGTTCACAGCAATATCAAAGATATTCTCACTCACAGCTGTCATAATGAGAGAACATAATGGAGAATTTCAGGTTCCTCTCCTCCCTATAGTTCTGTATGTACCGTATGAAAGTTAAGATTTCGCTATATGGCCAAAGAAAGGAACTCACATGGGGAATAAAGAATGGATGCACATTTTAAACTTGGGAGAACTAACCGGTATTAAGATTTGCTGAGAGATTATGTGGGTGGTAGTAGTTCTAACAGAAGTTGCAGTTTGCCTACTGGCTAGCAGGTCATACGTTGTCAATGTTGTGAAATTTGGGTTACCTGAAAATTATGAATCATACTTATTCCTATTATTAAATGTTCTATGTTGCCTCTGTGTGTGTGTGTGTGTGTGTGTGTGTGTAATTTTTCAAAAAAGTCTCCATATACTATTTTGTGCTGCCAATATAACAGCAAAATTAACGAAGCAAATTCAAGCAAACTCAGTTACTTGTACCAAAAAAGAAAAAAACTGAAACAGTTGTTTGGAGGGGTGGTGTGTCTGCTAAATGGTATAATTCTTAGAGTAATTAAAGTAAGTTAAAGTAATTATATTTACAGTTCACCTGCCATTTTCTCCAGCCTACCCTTCCATTCAACATATCTGTTATGCAAAGAAATATTATGACGTTTTTCTCAGATTCAAGTCCTCCATGCGCTCCATGGGGCTTAGTCCCACATAAATGTGCAAAATAATGTAGCCTCCTAGGCTATTGTCAGTGAAAACACATAATAAAGCTACAGTCCTAAATACACTATCTGGAAGAAACTTCCATTCAAATGGAATGGTACATCAATGTGTTTAATCAGATTTATAAGGCATGTTTCATTCCTTGTTACTCAGCTCTTTTCTATTGTACTTTCCACCCTTACTTTTTCTGGCCGCATGAGCCTTTAAATCAGTGCTGGCCACCCATAGTATTTTGATCCTTTTGATCAGTTTGTGCTTATGACTGTGGATGTGCTAGTGGTGAGAGAGGTCTGACACAGGAGTCTCACCTCCACCCCATACAGTGGCAAGCTCAGCCACCATCACTATTCCTAATGCCCTTATTTCCCCAACATTACCCCACCCCGAATCAGCAAATTCCCTCACATTAGAGTCAATGGGGAAGGGGGAAATGGTTCATTCCAACCTGGTTGCAATGAGTCAGCAGGGCTTTCAATGTGGCAATTTCTTCACCATGTATGTGTTCTCATTCTCATTGCCCCTCTCATTTATGTGTGTATATGTGTGTGTCATACACACACACACACACACACACACACACACAATTGCTATGCCCATCTTGTATCAGTAAACATACAAAGGAAACTTTCCTATAACTGAAGGTCATTTTATACTGTACTATTTAATATCCCATACTCATTTTGCATTAGGAATCTGTCTAAAACTATCAATTAGGATGGTGAAGCATTGGAACTGATGCCCCGCAATATTTTTTCTTCAGTCTTCCTTGTTTTAACAACGTATTTTCCCCCAGCTGTTCACATACTTTCACTGAAAAGAAGACCATTTTCTCACATCTGGTCTGTTCCCATCTGATGTTCGTTCTCGTATTTTTCGTCATACCATACGATTGCTTGACATTTCTTAACATATCTCCCCCCCGCCCCCGAGCTGGCTGGAACAAATATATCCATAAATCTGTTAACACATTGCTAAGAATTTCATTTTGCTGCCATGCAGGTCACTAGGATTGAGGCTGCGTAATCTGTAGAAATTTAAAGAAAATGTTTGCTTTGTGACATTGACCTAAGGAAAAAGCAAGCTTGTTTGAAGATGGCTCTGATCGTCAGTGACCTATGCAATACTCAGTCTCCCAATTTGAGGGTCCCAACTGCTCTGTGTGTTTTGTGTGTGTGCACAGAACTCTTGAGCACCCAAGCATTCCCATTCACTTAACTGGGAAGGGACAGTTCTATGAATGCATCCATTTGCCAGCTAGAGACTCTGCCTCTCACACTGAAGTGACTGGGGAAATCCTGGTTGCTCTATAGGCTTCAGAGCCTCTATGCTTGTATGCAATATTCCTGTGATATGCAGACTTTTAATGTATGATTCTTCAAGATTCTTCTATCAAGACTAAACTCATGGGGGAAGACAACAACATGAAAAAGTAACGATGCCAGCATAGTTAACAGTCAGCTATCAGCTATTAGAGGCAAGAAGCCTGCCAGATGAAAAGAACAGCGTCTACCTGAGAGTTCTCAGAGAACTCAAATGTGAAATTGCTGATCTTCTAGCAAAAATATGTAGTGCTACTCAGGTCACTCTCCATCTCTGAGGACTGAAAAGTAACCAATGTAACACCAATTTTTAAAAAAGGATCCAAGGGGGTTCCTGGAAATTACAGGCTGGTGGAATATAATATTAAAAATAAAATATGCAGGCGTATAAGTATTTATTTGTTTAGATGCCACCCATCTGACTGAGTTACTCCAGCTACTCTGGGTGGCTTCCAACCATTATAAAACCACAGTAAAACATATATAAAATATATAGAAGAACAAGCCTTGCTGAAGCAAAGCCAGCATGGTTTCTTCAAGGGTAATTCTTTCTCATATAACCTATTAGAGGTCTTTGAGAGTGTCAGCAAGCATATAGATATTGGTGATCTGGTTGACGTAGTGTAACTGGACTTTCAAAAATCTAGGGTTCTGTTTTTCTTTACAAAACTAGGTCAAGTATTAATAGAGTGGGAAAGAAGACCACCAAGCAATCTTTTAAGGGCTTTACACTATTTGGTATATTATGCTCTATTTTTGTAAGGTTTTATTAGGTCACCCAAAATGATTGGTTCATCTCAAAAATATTTTTTAAAAGCAGCAGTCTATTTTTAACAATTTGTAAGGTAAAGGTAAAGGGACCCCTGACCGTTAGGTCCAGTTGTGACCGACTCTGGGGTTTTGGTGCTCATCTCGCTTTATTGGCCGAGGGAGCCAGCGTACAGTTTCTGGGTCATGTGGCCAGCATGACTAAGCCGCTTCTGGCGAACCAGAGCAGCGCACGGAAACGCCATTTACCTTCCTGCCGGAGCAGTACCTATTTATCTACTTGCACTTTGACCTGCTTTCAAACTGCTAGGTTGGCAGGAGCAGGGACCAAACAATGGGAGCTCCCTCCGTTGCAGGGATTCGAACTGCCGACCTTCTGATCGGCAAGCCCTAGGCTCTGTGCTTTAGACCACAGCGCCACCCACATCCCTTTCAACAATTTGTAAGTTTTGTTAAAATGGGGTTATTAGGCTTTAAAGATCAAAGGCATGAAAGAGAACAGACACTTGGAAATGGATTAGAATTGTCACAGAGCAGGAAGGATCAAGGACGCTCGACACAGCCACCTTACTGCTGCAGCATCCTATGGATTTGGAACATCTAAATCATGGCAGCAGATGCTAGGAGGGGGCTGCATTCTAGTAGGTTGCTTTGTTAACATGGCAATTCTAGATCTGATATAAAATGTTAGAAAGGCTGAGAACAATTGATCAGATGGGCTACTGACCCAGAATAATATTTATAGCCACTGGTTCTACACATGTGTAAGCAACAATTCAGTGACTCACTGTACGTTCGCTGTGTTTGGAAATAAGGCAGACAATGAAAGAACCAGACAACCTTTGTAGTCCATTAATGTGCGTAGCGCCAGGTCTTTGGAGTCTTTCTTTATCTGATTTACTCAAACACAAAATATAGCTTCCAGCAAAATTAAAGTTAACATGTTTCTCTAGAGATTAAGATCAAAGCAGTGGAAAAGATTCTATTTCAACAGCATGATGTTCGCTCCCTTATCTATAAACTGGGGGTTGGGGGTCAGAAGACAGCAAGTGTAGGGAGATGTCTGTTAATCATTTTGATGTGTTGTCTTAGAGATTGTCCACACTTCCACTTGTTTCGTTTTTTCTTCCGCTTGTTCCGTGCTTTTTAGGCACAGGTCTGAGAGGTTTTTCATTTGCCCCACCACTTTCCCCAAGGAAACTCACTGTTTACTGCTAAATCGGAGCAAATGTCAATCCGAAAAGTCATACTTGCGACAGTTAGGCAGAAAGCAGAGGGTTTTCTCAGGACAAGCTGCAGGGCAAACAAACAAACGCTCACACCTGTGCCTAGAAAGCATGGGAAAAGCAGAAGTGTTGATGAGTCCTTCAAATCTTATACCACAGAGCCTTTAATGAGTCACTCACTACTCCCTGTTTTCTCTTGAGTCTCACAAAGGTTCAGGGAAAGGTACAAGATTGGGCCACTCCGCAGGGGTGCCATTTTAGATTACAGTAATAGAGTGGACAGAGCTGCAGCAGGGCACTCCTTACAGGGCAGACACAAGCAGCATTCCGTGTTTCCCATTGCTTATGTAGTCAAAACAGCCTCACACACTCAAGGGTGCAGGGAGGTATTTATCAGACCTAAGAGAGAGCCTTTAGGTTTGCATCAAAACAAACAAAAACTAGGGAGGAATCAGGGGAGAATTCACCACCACCACGACCCCACCTAAGTATACAACTAGTGTGCTCCTAGTTGTAAACCTTACAACAAATTTGTAAGTGAAGTCTTCCAGAGAGGAGGACTGGGGTTGAAAGGAAGTGGCTTTCCTAGCTAACCAGTGAGTCCATGGAAGAGACAAGATTGGAACTGAGGAGCTTCTGGTTCATAACACAGCCTCTTAGCCAGTATGCTCCATCAATTTCATATGACCTACTTTCTTCCCTTTTCCTTTTTAAAACCAGGACCATTAGTTCTCCTCACTTGGTATTGTCTATGCTGATTGACAAGGGGCTCAGTTAGCAGTTTTTCCAAGCCCTTGCTGCAAATGCTGGGTATTGAACCAAAGATCTTATGCACACAGTACCTAACAGTGTAAACTCTTAAGATGATCTTCCTCAGGGGCAATAGTTTAATATTCCACCACTTTGGTCCCTCAACTAACTTGAGTGCTAGTTTGTGTTCCCCATTCGAACATCTATCTACCCCCCTCTTTTGTATGACTTAAAAGCAAATAGGCAATAGTTTTGAGCATAAGATGCTCACTCATTTCTGGGATTGCTTTGATGGATTGTATTGTCGGTCATTTTAGATAGCAGGCCATTTGACACAGTTGTAGACACAGCAAATCACTTTGACACGAAGTTTTGTAGTATGCAGAGACAAGGAATTTTCCACTGCTTGTGCCAAATAAAGTAGTCACTATTTTTGGTCTGAGATCAGCATTCCATCCTCCTCCTCTTCTTATACTCCTCCTCTCTGACATTCCACAAACCCTGAGGGAATACAATTAAAAACTCAAGAGTTCTCAGCCATCCACTCATTTTTAGCAGGAGAGTCTAATATATTAGTTACATGTTCTCATATCTGTGTGTGTGAACTGAGGGCTAGATAATAGTTGGTATTTCATAAACCATTCTATTCCCAAACCAGCTCAACACAGGAAAAGTGGGTGGAATAATCCAAGCATTATATAATTCAGAAGTTTTTCTCAGCATTAAAAATCATTTACAAACCCATGCTGGTACATATTGATTTTGCCCATAGCATTCCAACTTCCACCACCCACCAAAAGGCTCTTTTGCATATGCCCTACTGAAATGAGTGGGATCTCCAATGAGGCAGCTTTCGCCCAGCTTGTGCCTTCTGGATGTTTTGGACTCCCAACTCCCATCAGCCACAGCTGTTGGGAAATGGAGTCCAAAACATCCAGAAGGCATCAGGTCAGTGAAGGCTAAAATAAGGTATGTGGGGGGGAGGAAGCCTAGTGGATTGTGCGAGGTGGGTCAGATTTATCTTGGCTACGGCTCTGCTCATTTTGATCCTTCAAGGTTTTCTTCTCATGAATTACTCTGATTTATTTGCTTAGTGGACTGGAAAGGGTTGTGTGCATGATTAAAAAACAAAAACAGCAGCTTCTGGGAGCCAGACATCATGAAGGGTAATCCTTGAAGGAGGGGTTCCCTTGGCAAATGGTCACCAATCACCTATTGGTAGAAAATCCTCACCTCCTTTTTCCAAAGCACCAACCACTTGTCTGCTGCATCCAGGGTGTTGCTAATGTATAGCACCATGTTCCCAGATTGATGCTATGTGTGAGGGTATGTGAATCATAGCAGCTGTAGCTACATGGTTGTGCTTGGAACAAGGGATGCATCCACATGGTGACAAGATAGTACACTAGTGCCATATCTAGGGCAGAGTGAGGCAGTCACCTCAAGCAGGTGACTTGGGGTGTCATGAACAGGCAGCAAATTGTTAGGTTTTAATTTGTTGTCGCATTTTTACTGCCAGGGACAGGCCTATGGGTGCCAGCATCGCTTGAATGGACCTGGGCACATTGATTTGTAGGGGACCAGAGGTGCCCAAGACATTTTGCTGCCTGAGGTGGAACAGAAAATGATGTCCACCTCTCCAGTCTAAGTACATGGTTCCCAAGGCTCTCACTCCTCCTCTTTGGAAGTAAAACATACTGTAACTAAAAGCTAAGTCATGGACACATTGCTGCCCTTCATGATACAGAAAATTAGTCATCTGCCTCTGCCTAACTGTAGAGTCAGTCCTGTTGGGGAGATGTGATTTGAGGTTCCATCTGAGGAAGCAAATTATCTTGGATTGGCCCTCTTCCTTTCCATTTTGTTCTATACTGGTCAGCACTAATTTCTTGTTTTCTAGTACCCACAAAGGGGCTCATTTTTTAAGTATGCAAGCTACTTTACACACATTTTCTCCTAACTTTTCATCCCTATATTTTCTTACTCTTCAACCAGTCTCACAACTGGGGCAGCATGCATAGAGTCCTTTCAAAGTCTGGTATTCAGCTCAGAGTAGAGCCACTGAAATTAATTTAGGCATATTCATTCCAGTGGTACTACTCTGGGTAAAACTGAGTTGAATTCCCATCAATGTGATTAAAATTCTGTCAAGCACTCATTTAGGAACAGGGAGCTGAATTCAGTTCCCTTTCCTTCTTTCCAACCAAACACCTGATCAGCTGATTTAAAAATAAAAATCTATGCATGTTGCTTTGGAGCCACCATTGTGGCTCAGGACCAGATCTGAGGAATTGGAGAGCTCTGATTCTGAAGTCTCTTTCCACCATTTGGGGAAGGAAATCTCATGAAGCAGGAAGCCTCTAAAAACCAGTTGGTGGGAATCATGTGGAGAGACTACTATTGTACTAAGATCTGCTTTCAGACTTTCCATGATCATCTGGCTGGACTAGGTTGGTCTTCAGCTTGATCCAGCAGGGGTCTTCTTAAGCTCTTTCATTATGCTGTGTTGTTTTTTAACAAAACAAAATGTTAACAAGGCACTGAAAAATGAACTTGACCATCATGAAAGGCACTGCAGAAAGTAATTGGCAGAAATATAGCTCTGCTGTGAAAGGGAAACAGTCGGGTAAAGCGGAAAGTTCAGGTTGTACACTGTCATCAACCATGTCTAATATTGCATCCTCACCACAGGTAGGACAATAGCACTACAGTCCATACCTGAGAGGATTGTGCTGCACTTGTGGATACTTTCTCCGAACCAGAAATAAATTAGCATCTTGCTAATTGAATCTTGCTGGCATTTTCCTTGTTGAATGGAAACAAAGTATTTAAATTGCAGGCAACAGGAATGATAATGGAATATAACACTTCAAAAATAATTCACCTGGATTCACTGGAGTAAATGGATGAATTGTATTATCAGATTTAAAAGCTAAGTTTGAGTAGTATATTTCTTTCTTTCTTTCTTTCTTTCTTTCTTTCTTTCTTTCTTTACCACACATGAAAAGCTTTTCATTCTATTTTGTCTAGTTTCAAATAAGATACCATGAGTGCAATGGCAAGTTGGTAAAATTAGATTTTATGTAAGATACTGGATTTGGGAATTGTAGGGTTTACCTGGATTGTTGTTGTTTTTAGTTGCTTTTAGTATTCCTTTATTTTTAAGACAAAATCAATGAGAGAGAGATATACATATGGGAAAAGAGGCTGAATTAATCCGACAGATACCTTCTTTGTATGTAAAGTAGATCTATTTTATCCTGACACTTACTGGTAATAAAATGTTTTTCGGGTGGTAAAAAATGTTGAAACACACAGAGGATTTCTCTGCAGTCTTTCTAGTCGTTGGGTATGTTTCACCAATATTTTTACACTTGAACACCCATTATCTGGTGAATGTGCCATTAGGTGAGGACTTGCATATGTGAAAGAAATCAGCCCCCACAGAGCACTGCTTTCTGTTACCTGACATCCCTTACACACAATGTTGTGCCCATCTCCCACTGAGGCAGTTAACCGGTTCAGCTGAAGGACACAGAGGTTTGCGTGAGCCAGTAATGAGATGTCAAGTAGTGCCGGTGCCTGAGTGAATCAGCCCTGAACTAATGCCCTTTATATTTTTACACACAGCAGCACATACACGCTCATGCTCTTTATAAACAAGACTGAAATGGTTGGGTTGAACTATTTAAAGGTCAGACCATTACAGAAAACCAACTGGCCAAGTGGTCAGGCTTTCCACCATGGAATTGTTCAGTCTGAGTTGATGGAAATCTGGTGATATTTTATTTCTTGCTGCAGATTCTAGTCTACTTGAGAAAGCCTTTGATCTCAAGTAAGGTTTCCTGGCATTTACTTGGCCAACCTGGTGGTGGGTTGGTTGTCTGAACTCATCCAAACCCACCCTCAGTTTCTGATTATGCCGCCTCCTATGATTCTTGGCACCAAACCCATTACTTGCAGCTAAATAAACAGTAGCAGATGTCAAAAGCACTCAAGGCTGGTATTTTTCTCCTACATAAGTGCTAGTCGCTTAGTGTTATTCATGACATATTGACTCATTGCTTTGGCCAGAATGACATCTCAAAGCAAAACTGGGCATGGGATTGCTTTGGTCAACAGAACTCGAGTTATTTTTGAATTCCCTCCTTCCAAACAGTGGTCAATTATGTTGCTTATAAATGGACCAGGGGTTTAATCACTGATAATTACCCACTATTTACTTGCCATCTTTACATGAACATCAGGACACCTGCAAACTATGTGACAAAAAAATTAAGTTGTTATTGGTCATTTTCCCCTTCATGACGCATAGGCTAAAATGATAAAAGTGTCTCCACATGTTAACAGTGTAAGCTACTGCATAATGAAAATCACTTTGTTTGACATTATATTCTACCCCATTTCTTTAAACTATAGAAGTAACTTATCCCAGCTATCAGTAGGTTAGGTAGTTGTTAATGGAGTTAACTTGGGGGAGGGGGGGCATGGTGGGGTGTCCCTCACCACAACCCTGTGAGGAAATAGTCTGAGGGTGATTGACTGCTCCAAGGTAAGCAAATGAGCTTTTTGGATGAGTGAGTATGAAGACCTGGTTTTCCTGCATCCAAATGCAACACTCTAACCACCACACCACACTGGTTCTCCTTTTCTTCAGATTTGGGAGCTAACCATTTGGGGAATAGCCATAGCTTGCATACGCAGTACATTCAGAAGGTTCCAGGTTTAATCCCTGACATCTTCAGGTAGTGCTTGGGTAGGGCTGAGAGAGACTCCTGCCTGAAACCCTGGAGAGAACTGCCAGTCATTGTAGACAGTACTGAGAAACCTGGACCAGTGGTCTGACTTGATATAAGGCAGCTTCTTATGTTTCTGTGTTGAGAAGCGGACACTACTTCACAATACTTACTTTGCCACACAGATATTGGGAGGGAAATCACCACACAGTGGCTCTTCCAGCTGAAATACCAGTGCTGTGTGGTTCTACTTCTGTAACACAGACATTTTCTCAACCAATGAAGCTTGTTTATATATCTTTATCTATATCTATATCTGCATGCATAGAGAAACCAGACTTATTTACCTTGGGACATGATTTTTCACTTTGGGCAAGAAAGAAGCTGACCAAATTCCCAGACCAGTCCATGGGCCTGAGGAAAGAGACACCAAACCTTGTAGGGAAGAGGTCATAGCTCAGTGGGAGAGCACATGACCTGCATGCCTGGGGTCCAGAGTTCAATCCACCCTATCTTCACTTAAAGGATCTTAAATGGGCAGAGATCTCCTTTTTCTAACCTTGAAGAACACTGTTAGTCAGAGCCGACAAACTGGAACTAGATGGACCAGTCATCTGATTCACACTATAAGACAGCCATGTATGTTGAGACAAAATAATACACCACATTACGGCCTGTGATTCAGTATATGGAGCTGAATATAGGAATTGGGAGCGGTGCGTAGCATAAAAAAATTAACCAATACTTTTAATACTCTGGGTTATCCTTCTCATTTAGTTACTACATGCTGAGACATATATGCTAGGAAAGTGTTACTGTCATACCAATGATATATAATTTTCTTTTCAAAAACGGCTTGAAGGATTCCCCAATCCTCCATAGTTCTTCTCCGAGTCCATAATAAACCATGCACTCTTGACATGAGCTGCACAATAACATGAATAGAGAGAGAATTCAATGAATCCAGCAGATGTTTAATGGTCAACTTCACTGGGAACTCTTTGGCTTCTGATCTCCCTGATTCTCAGGAACCATGTCCTAATTTTAGTAAAGTCCTTCTGGGTCCAATGGGCATATAACAAACCAAAATAGCTTGCCTACAAACCTGAGAAGATTTTTCTGCTGTATCCTGAACTTTTGAGTATTTATTCAAATGAGTTTTCCAAGCACAGAGGGATGAGCAGAATCAGGTTTCAGGCTTGTGGGATTGGCTTTGTTTTTTTCTAGAATCCTAGAATTCACCGACTGGAGCCAGGTACAAAAGACATACTCTTTGGCTGTGTACACATTACTGGTGTTTGCTGTGACTCCAGAGCACTCCTACCCCTGGCTTTTGAGTCCGTGTACACATGGTGTTACCCATGATGCAGAGGTATCCTGCAGTTTCTTGAGAAACATTGCTGTTTGGTTTGTTTCCACCCAAACCAGCTTCAATCTGAAAGGAAAAATAAGCCACATTCACTTGACAGTTAAGCTGAGGTGTGTACACTTGAGACAGCCATTACACATGCCAGAGGTGCCAACTTGCACCAGAGATTGGGGGGGCCCAGCGAGGTGTGCTTGTGATGACACATGTGTGATGCCACGTCACTGGGAGGAGGCTGAGCATGGCTCCAATGGCTGGTGGCTCCTCTCTCATGTTTGGCCTCCTTCCATGATAGGAGGAGGAGGAGGAGCTGGCTACTGAAGCCATGCCACACTCACCTCTGCACTCAGCTTCCTCTCCCGCTCCCAAAAGATATTGGGGGCCCCAAGACAGCTCCACCCATGATTTGACGTAATGCATACTCTGTTGGTGTAGATTTTAATGGCACTTTTAAAAAAGATAATCTGCATATTATTAGGTGCTGTATTGACTGACTTTTACTCTTAGTTCATAGGAGATTATTCACAAAGACCTTTTAATGCAAGGATGTGGAAATTCTGGAGAGTCATGTGTGCTGCTGTTCCAAAGACTCATTATAGACAAATTTCTCCCTAGAAACATCAAGAAAAATTGAAAATGGCAAGTGATCAGTCTGCTTGCTATCACTGCATGGCCTCCCTTTGTGGAAAGAGATACGCTACAAAAGAAGACAATGCTTACTGTGTGAAGTGCTATGACAGCCTGTTTGCTAACATCTGTGAAGAATGCAAGAAGCCCATTGAATGCGACTTCAAGGTAAGTGTTGATTTGTTTCAGAAGCAACACTGTTCCAGTGTTATTCCAAGCTTTGTGGAAATAGTACATATAGAGATCATAGGGGCACATGTGTTACCCTGCCTTCAATGTCCCAGTCGGTTCTCCCCGTCCCAATCCAGGAAAGCCTGAAAGATATTTCTAAGAGCAATCAGCTGAATGTTCTTAGAAACTTTCCTGCAATTGGGAAGCCTGCAGTGATCGTGAGGGTGGGATCATAGGCATGTTCAGCTGAATGCTGAAAGAACGCTGTACAGATCTTCCCACAGCCAGGCACCTTTGGCCCAGTTGGGGCCTTCAAATACCTAAATAGAGCTACACTTTCCACATGAAGCAGAGTTCTGGGTGTTTGCTGAATGCTCAAAATCAGCAGTTAACTATAAAAGCAGTTTTAAAAATTATTTTATTTATTTACTATTATGCAGTTACTAGGAAGCAGTCAGGTCCAGGGGTCTGGCCTCAGGCCTGCTACCTTGAAAACTTCAGGATTCTTCCTCCTAGCAAACTTCATTTGCTCATGCCTGCCATGTTGGAAGTGACAGGAAAGAAGGAAAGGGGCTCCTCATTTATTGAAAACCACCCACAGGCTTAAAAAAATGTTTTAATTCAACTCAGACATGAATCTATCATGATCAACAACTAATGATTGTGAGCCATGAAACTATGCTCCTTTTCTGACATAAGTGTGGGGCAGCAGATGAAGTAGAGACTTTGTTTGGAGGGGTTCTGACTGCTCCTGTGTTGCTTGTGACTCGCCGCTGCCCAAGATATAGCACTAGTATTCATTCTTGTTAGATCGGAGATGAGGTTTGAATGGTGAACTGACTGAAGTGCTTGTCTACAGAATAAGGCTGAAGCATTGATATGTACACCAGATTACCTGCACACAAACACACACACCCAAATCCATAGATCGGTATAATGCATCCATAGATATAGACAGGAAGGAACAAAAACAAGAGAGTATATTATTATTAGTTGGGTGGAGGGGTAGGTTGTATGTCTGAGCCTCCTTCTAATTCCTGGACCCAGCACTGATTCAATTCCTGGCATAGCCAGGCTAGCTTCCTGGTAAAGTACTGGCCCACTAATTATGGGCCATAAGCTAACAAGTAAAGGTAAAGGTAAAGGGACCCCTGACCGTTAGGTCCAGTCGCGGGCGACTCTAGGGTTGCAGCGCTCATCTCACTTTATTGGCCGAGGGAGCCAGCGTACAGTTTCCTGGTCATGTGGCCAGCATGACTAAGCCACTTCTGGCGAACCAGAGCAGCGCACGGAATGCCGTTTACCTTCCCACCAGAGCGGTACCTATTTATCTACTTGCACTTTGACGTGCTTTCGAACTGCTAGGTTGGCAGGAGCTGGGACTGAGCAACGGGAGCTCACCCCGTCACGGGAATTCGAACCACTGACCTTCTGATCGGCAAGCCCTAGGCTCTGTGGTTTAGACAACAGAGTGGCAAATGGGGGGGGGGCTATCTCAACTCGCTGGTATGTAGAAAGACAAAGGCCAGAGGTGAGAGTTGATTTTTGTAAGCTAGAAGCTACAAGTACGGCTGCAGACAGGGCAGCTGGGAGACAGAACCATGGAATCCAAGGCTGTGGCTATGGGAGAAGCAAGACCCCCTTGGGGTTTTAATGCTGTGAACCCCTCTGTGTAGGCTCAGGTGGTATATATGTATAAATAAAGCACATATAAAATAACACCACAGTCTCCACTGTCCCTCATTCCAAAGGAAACACGAACCCTGGGTAAGCATCTGGAACCCCTGGGATTTTGCACTGCTCAGAGATTGGGGTGGTGCGCAACAATATAACCTGTGACATTAAACTTCTGCAGATATATGCGGGTTTTTAATAGTTTGCAGGCTCCCTACAGACCCAATGGGATGGGTTTCATCCATCATCTGAATTCAGCAGCTTAATATAGAGATTTTAAACTGCATTAACCCTCAGAATAATGTCTTCGCTTCTTTAATATCTGGGTTTAAAAAGTGGGGGGGGGGGACCCAGTTAGTTGTATTATTTTAACAATTCATTCCAGAGAGATTTCCTTTTCTAGCCTGGGCTTAATTCAACTGATAAGATCGAGGGAAACCTTAAAATAAATTCCACTGACAAATAACCAGTGAAAAATGACTTCCCCTTGGTCTGTATTACAGACAGCCTCCCCTGTAACTGCTAAGATTCGCAGGGAAATAAATGGCATTCATCATTTTTATGTAATAACACTGTCTCCGCAAGCAAGATATCTCAAGAAAAGATGTGTTTGGATTAAAATATTTTATTCGCCAAATGACAACTTCATTTTGTTGTTTATCTCCTAATGCCTCCTCACTCATCACAGAAATAGCATCTTAGTGGCAAATGGGGATGATCAAAAGGAAACAAAACTTCACATCTTTGGGTTTCATCTTTTCTCTCAGAACTCAGGCAGAACTTTTCATGAAAACTATGCACACCACAGTGGGATGTGTGTATAGAGATTTGTTCCTCCTTTAATTCCTCATAAAGCACAACTCTGTATAGGAAAAATAAGAGTATATTAAATGTATTGTACACAAAATATCACAAAATAACATGTACTAATACTCTGATTGGTATGAGATCTCTCTCTCTACACACACACACAGTTTCTGGTCAATCTTGAAGTGATATATATAATCCTACAAATTACGGTACTATTCAATGTCTCCGCATCCGAAAGTTCAACTATATTGTATTGAAGTCCAGAGTGTAGATTCTCTGTGTTAAATCTTGTAGTTGAAAAACTGTATGAGGAGGACTCCAACAACGAAATATCCAGGTAAAATCTTGGCATCCTTCATCAAGGCAGTCTAAGTACATTGTTAAATGATACATGACATGCTGTAAATGACTCATATAATACAATCTTATATGAACCCCCCCCCCCACCTAATATGATCCAAAATATTCAAGTGTTTCACTTACATATGCAGGCAACTTAATGCTCAACAATTAGGTCAGCTCCCACCTTGCGAGGGCACTCAGCCCCTGGTGAAATGCTGACTCGGATACTAATTCTCCCGGGGTGGAGATTTAAAGGGACCATAGCATTCCATCACACTCTGGGATAGCATACAGTAAAAATCACAGGAACAACTCACAAGAAACTACAAACTACTCCAATCCAGACTGAGATTTAGACCTTTGGGGATGACTGTATTCAGATGGAAAATCCATCTGGCTTCCAATTGCAACATAACCTTTCTTACATCTGGTCTGCTGTATGGGTGTGATTTATACACTTATATACATACGTACATGGGTATGACGCTCCGTTCTATACGAATCAGGATTTTAGAACGTATGTCCAGAATTAGACACAAAAAATTGGAGGCACCTATGGTACAAAGCCACATACAACTCACACTTGTGAGGAGATAGGCTTTGGGTTCTACAAGACAATATACAGCCCATTTCCCTAGCACAAATAGAAGAGTCAGTTTTGCCTTTCTTACTCCATTGACCTGAGAGTGAGTCCCACTGAATTCAATTTTGCAGAGACGTGGTTCAGATTGCAGGCTTTTCCAAACAGTTCCTTTCATCCTGTGCTAGCTCAGATAAAGTATGCAGCTTGAGGGTAGACAAGGAAGAAAAGGTCAGAAAACTTCCTCCGATGTGGTTAAACTACAGAATATTCTGTCGCCCTGCAGGTCATTTTTGACAATTATTCCGAAACCAATGGCTCATAGCGCCTTCTGATTTGATTGTATCCAACTGGTGGGGGCGCGGGCACGGGCAGTGTTTAAAGGAAGCACCTGCTTTTTATTAACATGCATTCATTGTCTCTCAAAGGATCTTGCTTACAAAGGCTGCCACTGGCATGAAGCGTGCTTCAAGTGTGCCAAGTGCCATCAGTCTTTGGTAGAAAAGCCTTTCGCTGCCAAAGATGAGCTCCTGCTGTGTACAGAGTGTTATTCTAATGAGTATTCATCAAAGTGCTTCCACTGCAAGAGGACCATTATGCCTGGTAAGATAACAAGGAGCTTTTGCTAACGAAATAAATAGGGTCGCATGGCGGTTTTAATTAATTTTGAACACTGGTCTAGAGGAGCTCAATAGGCAGAAGTACGATTAAGGTGAAACTCTCTTCTTTAATCCAAGGGCCTTTTCAGATGAATGCTTCATTTTTACACGTGTTTCACATTCCTTATGCAGAGGCCAGTTTGCTATTTACTGTCCAATTCACCCACCTGTTGCCATTTCACCTTTTGCCATTTCACCCCCCCCCTTTCTTCTTTTAGCTTTTAGGAATGTGATTAGGTGAGTTTTATGGAGAGCTACTTATGCAGATCCACATCGTTTTGTATGTCTTTTTCCTGAAAGATTTGCTTCAAAATGAAAGCTACTTTCCCAGGAGCTGAGCACTCCCCATTGTACCACTCCAGTGGGATCCTAAATATCCTTAAATTTAAAAAGGAAATACACCTTTTTTTCTCCAGAAATGCTTTTGGGTGTTGTACTATTCCACTTGTGACACAAATAGACATTGGGATCCCATAGCCTGGCTGTTTCCTGCGGCAAGGTTTTCTTATTCGGAATCGCAAAACCTTCTTTGTGCCTCCAAAACTTTTTTTTTTTTATAACCTTACATTCTGGGCATGCCTTTCAGTCACAGAATGGAGTCCCAGGGAACCACTGGCAGGTGGATTCTTTCTCAGCTTTTCTTTTTTTGAGCAGCATTTTCAATTACCTCATGGAGGTCAGTCGAGCCACCCATCTCACACATGGCTTGTCGCTCTATTTTATAAGACTGATGCATTCCCCATTGCACTTCCTCCAGAAGAAAAGTTGTGGGGGCTCTGGATCCTATCCGCCAGCTCTGACAATTGTGAGTAACAGGTGCTCTGCCACAGTTCTTTATTCAGCCAGAGCATAGGCAGCAATCAGCAATTCCTGCTATGCAGAGTGGGAGTACAAATTCAGGCTTGCATCTGAGACTGAAATGTTGTCACTGAATAATTCAGACCCATTCAAAGCCAGGGTGCTGGCCAGGTGTCCCAAATGGAAATTTTAATTATGTACTAAATTGCCAGATTTGCATCAAATTTTGCCTATACCAAAAATATTAGACAGATGCCCTAGTGCAGGGGTAGCCAAGGTGGGGCCCTCTAGAATGGTTGGTTGCTTATAAGTCACTTTGGGTTGCCTTGGGCAAGAAAAAGCAACTAAGAAATTTAATTAACAACAACAAAACAATAGATGTTGTGAACAACTCCTGTCATCAAAGACCACTTGCCATGTTGCTGGGGCTGATGGGATTTGTAGTCCAAAAACATCTGGCGAATACCATTGACTGTCCCACAGTAGTAGAGCATGCTATGATAATTATTTGTATCATGTCCCAAAATAGCCATTTCTGTGTTACATAACTATTTTGTGGTGGTGCTACAAGGTTGCAACTGGAGAGAGTGAATGTTTTCTAGCAGATGGGCACTGAAACATTCTGCTACATATAAGCTATTATCCAAACAACTGGCCCTAATTTCTGATTATTTTGTCTAATAACATGCCAAGTTATATGTTCAAGATATTGATTATCTATAGAACAATTCAGAAATCCGCAAATCAATCCACCTTACCAAAATTAATAAATAAATGTTAACACATCTGGCAAGATTTCCTCAGCATGGGAAACAAGTGTGACAGATCCAGTATTTTAAATTTTAATACGCTGGACACTAGTAGCAGTCACACAATTAAATTAGTCTACTTAATGTTAAATCTGTCTAAGCTGTACTTATGGTCCCTTCTGAATAAATTGGAAGACCAATGTGACTGTGGTGGAATCTATGCACATATTTTAAAAAAACACTGTGAAAATGCTTTTTTTTAAAAGTGTTTTGAAAAATATATTGAATTTGCCATAAGCTCACCATCACCATCTAACGTCACATTTGTATAATGCACTTAAAACACACCTAAGACATTATATTTGCAGCTGTATAGCTGAGTCCTGTGAGTTGATTTAGGAATGGGATTTGGCAGCTGAATTTAGAAAACTATGGTTGAAGGTATGAAGCACTGATAGTGATAGGTAGCTAGTTTCTTTTAATTCATGCAGCCTAGTCAGATGCAATCAGAAGGGTCACAGAGACAGTGGGCAGTGCAGAGATGTGAGAGCCAAACTACACGTGATACCATAAAGTCTGGCATAGAACCATCACTGGATTTCACAACTTTTCAAAATTTTATTGAGGTACCCATACACCCCCACCATGAGCCCAGTACCAGCCTCAGGGGAACATTTAGGTTGGGGGAGCGGTGTAGGCACAAAGGACTAAGACCCTCCATCTACCCTGTGCCACTTCTCCAGTAAACCCCAGAGAACCCCCACAACTACTAAAAAAATGCAGGGAGGTTTGGTCTCCTGCATTCTTTGTTGCTTGGTTCTGATACAGAGATGTGATGGCACCCTTATTTTTGGCTGCTTGTTTCACAGCAGAGTTTTATTTCAGATTATCGCATATATATGGCAATTTTCCTCTACTACTTATAATCAACTAAAAAAAAAGAAAAGGAGGATAATAGGCTTGCTAAAAATTGTTTACTGGTACAGGTAAAGTGCAGTGATGAAATAATTTGTAGACCCAACATGAAGCTAAAATGGAATAATGCAGTGTTGACACTTTCCAGCATAAGATACGAGAGTCTTGAAAAGGTGCTCAATTCACACAAGCACTGGCTATAGGAGTTTAATGCTTCCCAGGACTTGGAGCTAATTAGAACCTCATTGTTTTCATTATACTTACCCTATATTCAATTACCACTTGTACAAAACAGCTATTTTCCTGAACTGCCTTCCTCCTCTCTGTGTAAAGCTTCCCCTGTGCTGCAATTTCAAACCATGCTATTTCAAGTCCTTGAAGAGGAGGTGTTGGAAAGTCATGGTTAACTAATGTCTTTGCATTTATTTTCAATAGTCAATTGAAAATATTTTCCATTAAGTGTTATAGTATTCCATTTATGGTAAACTTAGAAAACAGCTCAGGATTAGAAAAACTAGCTGCAAAATGTTGCTGATTTACTTAAGCTCCTGATTTTTACCTAAAACATTGCTGTACAGACCAGAAGGGAGACAGGGATGTCTACACCCAAGGTCTATTTCTTTATTTGCTTCCCTACAACAAACTCCAATTCACTGAAGCTGTCATCTGTGTGTCTGCTCTCATCTACACATGCATCATCATTCGCACATGTGCAATGGCTGTCTCAGATGTACGCACCTCAGTTTAACCAGGGCTTCTGCGGAAATTGATTTGAAGGAAAGCACATCACACCAGAGTATTTTTCAAGATGCTGCAGGAGACCTATGGACTGTGGCTGATGTCAAGTTTCCTCAGCTTCAAACACCTGTGTTGGTTGTATACTTGAGGCAGAATAAAACAGTAATGCGTACATAGACTTAGAAGAAAATTTGTTGAAACAAATATGGAAACTGCAGAGACCTCCACAGGTATTATTATGTCTTTCCCTATCAGACATATTAATACCTTACCTCCCTATATCTTATTTTTATGTCCTTTGATTAGTTTTGAGATGGCCATTTCACTTTGACATTAAAACTTGAATTTAACCATGAGTTTCTGTGCTTGGCTGAACTGGGGCTGTTGTGCTATTATTGATAATGAAGAAATAATGTCCTAACCATACTGTTTTAGCACAGTTTTTAATACAGCATTCCCAGCCGGCCAATAATCTGTCAGGTTTCATGATTGGTTTTGCAGGTTCTCGCAAAATGGAGTTTAAAGGAAGTTGTTGGCACGAAGCTTGCTTTGTTTGCCAGCACTGTCGGCAGCCGCTAGGGACAAAGCCTTTGATTACCAAGGACAACGACAATTATTGTGTGCCTTGTTTTGAGAAGCAATTTGCTCAGTGTTGTTACTCCTGCAAAAAGGTAATGAAGCAAATGAAAAATACTGGGGCAGTGGGGGTGGAGAGATAGGTGATCACAATGAACTTCACTGTCCATTCCACAAACAGAGGGTTGTCATTTGTCCACAAAGGAGAAGCAGACACTCTTGGTGACAGCAGCCACCCTCTGCAATGCACTCCTTCAGATAATTCAGGAGACCATAATTACCTTTAAACCCCTCTTCATATTAAGCAGTATAATGTTTGTTAACAAACCAAAAAATATTCTTTCTTACAATGACCCTGATGCAAACATCCTCAGGTTTGATAGAATTCACTGCCAAGAGATGGGAGGAAGCAGATACTCTGAATCTGTTTCCATTGTCAAAATTACACGCGGTGAACAGGTGCGCAGAAGGTGAATGCTAATAGCACCAACAATGCATTAAATGGTGCATTTTACATTTCAGGAGCACCTTATGGGATACAAGATGGGTGCGCCCCCCCCAAGTCATCATTTAGTGCAGCATTTCCCAACTTTGGGTCCCAGCCATCAGACCCAGTGGTGAGGGATGTTGGAAGTTGTAGTCAACAACATTGGAGGACACAAGGTTGGGAAAGCCTAATCTAGGAGGCACAGATGTGTCATTATTGGGAATAAGTCCCATTTGACACAATTAGACTTCTTAATGGACAACGCGGGTGGCACTGTGGGTAAAACCTCAGCGCCTAGGACTTGCCGATCGCATGGTCGGCGGTTCGAATCCCCGCGGCGGGGTGAGCTCCCGTCGTTCGGTCCCAGCTCCTGCCCACCTAGCAGTTCGAAAGCACCCTTAAGTGCAAGTAGATAAATAGGTACCGCTTTATAGCGGGAAGGTAAACGGCGTTTCCGTGTGCTGCTCTGGTGCCGGTTCGCCGGAGCAGCGTCGTCACGCTGGCCACGTGACTCGGAAGTGTCTGCGGGCAGCGCTGGCTCCCGGCCTCTTAAGTGAGATGAGCGCACAACCCTAGAGTCTGTCAAGACTGGCCCGTACGGGCAAGGGTACCTTTACCTTTTACCTTTAATGGACATATATGAGATTGTACTGTTAGAGAGATAATCATATGAAGGCTTCAGTCCTAAGACCACTTATTAGGAAGTGAACTCCATTGGACACAGTGGGACTTCTGATTGGCATACATTGGATGGTCTTGAAAGTATGCTTCAGCTGTCCATCCACCCATGCAATTCCACAATATAACACCAAGCCACAGCCCTTCTGTTTAAGTATACCGTATTTCTAAAAATCTCAGTGTTGCATTTCCTGTCGGCAGTCCAGCAGCCCCTTATCCATTTCCCCTTTACAACCAGCAGCTGTTTCTGTAGGAATAGTCTCAGAGCCAACCCTGTTGGACATTAGTAATAAAAAAGAAAATAATTCTTCTGAGCATGTGTAGAGTGCCTTTTCCCCTTGCTACAGAGACCCGGAGTGACATTTTCCTTGATCGTGGGGTGACTCCAAAGTACGCTGGATATTCAGCATCTCTCTCTTTTTATAAATTAACCAAGGAAGTGTGGTGCTTATTGACCTTTGGTTTTGTACTTAATGCCCAAGTTCAGCATCTGGCTACAAATGCTCCTTTATCATCCAATAGGTGATAACTGCTGGCGGTGTGACCTATCATGACCAGCCTTGGCACAAAGAATGCTTTCTGTGTACCGGATGTGAGAAGCAGCTGGCAGGGCAGCGGTTCATTTCCAAAGATGAACACCCCTACTGCCTTGAGTGCTTCAGCAGGCGCTACGCAAAGAAGTGTGTGGCCTGCACCAAGTCTATTACAGGTAACTGTTGACTATCCAACTGACAAAATACAGTCCATATTTTGATGGTCATTATGGCAGAAGCAAGCCTCCTATATAATCATTGGCAGCATTTGTGCTCCTTATTGCTGACGGATGAGCACAGGGTGCTAAAATTATTTATGGTGAATTGGAGAGCAGTACTATTACCGCAGGACATTTATATGATCATGAGAAAGTGGCCCTGTTGCCACAATTCTTGAGCTGTAATGAGATTCAGGCTCAAACGAAATGTTACGGTACATAACAAAATATTGGCCACATCCCTAGTTCCCTCTTTCGTCTCCGTAAGATCTTGCATAATTTATTTGCTATCACAGCACCCTGGTTCATATCCAATTCTGCTGTTCTCTGGTGCATGTAGCAGAATTTTCCCCCTTCTGCCCTTTCCCCTGCAGCGCCCTGAATACTCCCAAAATCTGTCCCATGAGATTAGAGGACCCTTTGGAGCAGATTTTGAAGGTGCTTAGAAGAGAAGGAGCAGAAGTCCCATTACACAGGCATAACTCCACGCAAGCAGTGCTGAATACACTATTCTATGTTTAGTGACTCTACCAGTGGTAGTCAACAATTGGCAGCTGGAATGGGAAAATACAGGATTTTGCAACATGGATACATTGGACTACATTTTAGGGAGGGGGAGGGAGGGAGAAGCTATACAGTTGCTGCTCATAGCTGTCAACTTTTCCCTTTTCTTGCGAGGAATCCTATTCGGAATAAGGGAATTTCCCTTAAAAAAGGGGGAAAGTTGACAGCTATGTTGCTGCTGTCAGCAATGGGTGTCTGCATGTTGTATGAACTACAGTGGTACCTCGAGTTACAAACGCTTCAGGTTACAAACTCCACTAACCTGGAGGAATTATCTCGAGTTGAGAACCTTGTCCCAGGACTTTCACCCTTTTGGTTTTGTTCTGATTGTATTCACTTTAACTGCAAATAGATAGATGATAGATAGATGGATAGATAGATAGATAGATAGATAGATAGATAGACAGATAGGTAGATAGATAGATAGATAGATAGATAGATAGATAGATAGATAGATACTAGTGAAAAAACGATTAATTCACCCCGGGCCTTTGGGAACTGAATGGCCAGGGACCCACCAATTGTAAATATTAGATTGTAATTTTAGTACACTAGTTGATGGTTTTAGATTTTTTTATGGCACTGTGAAGCATTTAGTGATGACGAGATGATTTTAATTATATTTCATGCTGCTCTGGGCTCCCAGTTGGGAGAAGGAGTAATATAAAAATCAAATGAATAAACAAACTAAAAATAAACTCACAAGATGGTTATGGAGGATGAAAATGAAGAGGAAACTGCCTATGTTACTCTGAACATCTTGGGGAAAGGTCAGATCCAAGATGAATTCTTTAGGAGAAGGGCCCAAGTTCAGTGGTCAGGGATCTGTCTTACATGCAGAAGGTCCAAGGTTCAATCCCAAGCATCTCCAGACAGGGCTTGGAAGGACACCTTGCCTAAAACTCTGGCGAGCCAATCACTGTAGACAATATTGAACCAGATTGGCCAATGGCCTGATTCAGTGTAAGGCAGCTCCCTGAGTTCCCATTTTCCTGTGAGAATAGCAACACCAATGCAGTTACCATGGTAAGTAAGTGGCGACTCCGAACATGGCCTTGTTTACATCCACATTTTGGGTCAAAGAGTATGAGTGCAAGAGGAAAGGCATCTATTCCCAGCCTCTGAAAATCAAAATAACCAACAAAATACACAACTGTTTCAAGCAAAGCAAAATCTCAATGAGTCGTCCTCCCCTTTCCAATTTCTAGTACACACAAACACATTAAGCAGCAGCTGGAATTGTTTTTAAGGGTGCCATGGTAAGAGTTCACCCACTTCCTGAGCATGTGATCTGGGGAATCCTAGCATTGCCAGGCATCCTATGAAACTCTGGCTGGCAGGTGTGTCTGTTATTCTCTCTGCAGTGAAAGACCTAGAAGGCATTTTCTGTGTGTCATGCTTGAATCATTTAGCCTCACCTTCATATTCCCAGAATTGAAGAACAGATCTTGCCAGAAATAGAACACTGCTTTCAAGATTTGTGCTTAAATGGCTTATAATTAAATGTTTGGCAAACACACGGAGGCTATTTAAAAGTACTCTAAGACCATTAGCTGGATCCTTTTAAAAACAAATTGAATGACCTCTTGTCCCAGTTCTGAGGGGTAACACTGCCAATTAATTACTGACCCCGTCATTCAAAGAAAGAAACAAAACTGATGGGAAATTCAATCAGCCATAACCTTTCTCTCCATTGTGTATGTGAGTTCACACACAGCAGACCCTGGAATTTCTTCTACAGGCATAATTAATTGCAAGCAATTAAGCACCACCTTTCCACAGCTCCATAAAAATGTGCTTTTTAGGCCAATTTACTTTTATGTGTTAGATTTATAATTCACAGTATCCAACAAATATGGTGAACTGTTAAATCCATAGTAGGATAAAGCTATGAGTATTGAACTAGGTGGGCCTTAGGTCTGATCCAGTAGGACTCTTCTTATCTTCTTACGTATACAAAGCAGTGTGTACCTGTGGATATGCATCCTGAATTAAAACGGACAAGACAGCTCAGGGAAGCTGGCTTAAATGTGCACATTGTTGGTCCCATAGTGGCCAATTCTGAATCTCAGAAATATATACCATATTGGCCCGAATATAAGCCTCACTTTTCCCCCTGAATTCCGACCATGAAAAGTTAAAGCGTGGCTTAAATTCGTGGCCTTACAAAAATTGGCTATTATGATATCGCTGCTGAAACAGTGGTAAAATGGAATGGGTATGAGTGCCTGTGGAATTTTAAGGGAGCAGCTCATATTTGGGCCAATATGGCAGCTATGTCAGCATCTATTGTTGTAGTGCATGTCAAAACATGGACCCTTCAGTGAATTGAGGGTGGCCCTAGACACTTTGCTGCCTGAGGTGGAATTGCAAATGGTGTTCCCACAACCAGGCCAAGGTGCATAGTTCCAAAGACCCATCAAATTATTTTGGCGCCATGAGACAGTGACTCCCAAAAGCATTGTCTCCATACCTGGTAGTAAAGAATACAACAAGAATATTACGTATCTGATGTTTTGCTGTGTTTTCATCACAGCATTTCACCTCACTCTACCTAATGGTAGGACTGGCCCTGAATGAATCACATGTGTTCATTGATCCAATTTTTCTCCAGTTTCCATATATTAGGATAACTGAGAGTTTTATTTAATCTGGGAGCCCTCAGTGGACATGACATAATAAGTGGTGAGAGAGTCCTATTTAGATTTTTAGATGGAACTAATTTGCCTCAGTGTATGGCAGCTTCACTTCATTTAGCTCAGGTTTTGACATTTATTAAAGGAAGAAGGAAGGGACTTTGCTTATTAGAGCATAAGTTACTGCCTTTGTGATCTGCTAAAAGGCACTCACAGCCCCACTTTTCATCTCCATGTTTTCTCTTCATAGCTCTCGGCGAAGCCAAATTTATCTCATTTGAGGATAGCCAGTGGCACAGTGACTGCTTTAAGTGTGGGAAATGTTCCAGCTCACTGGTGGGGAAAGGATTCCTAACCCAGCAGGATGAGATCCTCTGCTGCAAGTGCGGGAGCACCGCATAGCTCACAAGACCTGAAAGCAAACCTTGTTAATTTCCATGCGCTTTAAGTATCACATGCATAATTGCTCAGTGGTCAAAAATCTGTCTAACAAGTATAATTATTGTTCAGTTGTGCAAATTGCTTCCTGACAGCATTTCTGACACAGCTGGCAGGCGTCCCTTTCATCCTGTATAACCACTTTAAATAACAGGGTTTCTGCTAGGAAACAGTTATAAAGATATATTAACCTGAAAGCATGTTTGGTTGTTTAACTGATTGGTTGGTTGGATGGATGGTTCCTTGTAGTAGAGTGCACTCTGCTGTTGGGAGTGCAAGAGTGTGCAAGCTTGCAACACAAACCAATACTGTGCTCAAATTCTAATAAAAAGAACATACATGACAGCTCTGTTTAAGAAACACCAAAATGAGATTTTTTTCCGACAGCACAGTGTTTATCACTGTCTGCGACCCTTTCTATGCATATGTAGGTCAGCAACGAAGGGTGCTGTCAAACAGTAACAAAGTTGTGTGAGGAAAGTAATGGGGATGTTCTGTTTTATTTTGCTGCTCCTAGAGGTGCTTTTCCATCTTATATTACAAAAATGCCGCACTAAACATGACATTGGAGCTCCTGGTGTTTTTGAATTTGTGTTCAAAAAGTCACATTGGCTACCTTGATTTGGATGAGAAATATATGGAGATTTAACCATTCTCCCCATGCTGATTCCTTAACACAGATCTTGTAGGTACCCATATGGAGTACAGGAATTTTGCTGTCAGAGGCAAAGAACAAGATGGTACCTCTCTTCCCATTCCATGTGCAGAAATCACCTAATTGGTCTAGCTCATAAATCTTACTTCAACACTGCTGACATGATAATGACCACCAGCATCAGCCTAGTTTAGGGGAACCAGAACATACACAGCTCTGTCCTGTGTCCTGAGAAGAATAGCAGTCTAGGAAGGACAACCAAGTGGATGTCACAGCTGCTCCCATGTACCCTTGCCTAAGAGTAGGGCCGGCCCTGGCAGTTGAAGTAGAAGCAGGTCTCTCTACATGTTTCTCAGTGTGAAGCACAGGAAAGGTCTCTGCTTTCCATAAATGGCAACACATTTGACATGTGGGTTTGAAGGGAAGGGAGTTGGAGAAAGCATTATAGTACTGTACCTTCCTATGCAGAGCCCGATTCACAGCCTACTCTCAGCATGCTGAAGGGCTGGGTTGTATGCCCTTTCTACAACAGGTGGAAGCCATGTGGAAGCACCCTAGGTCTTTTGCTGCAGTTAGTATTGTAGATATTGATACTGTGCAGCATGAAGCAACTGGATGCATAAAAACTGATTCCTTTTGGAATAAAACATTGTCCAGACCCATGAGATATTATCCAAAGCTTTACTTGCAGAACTCCTTCAAGCGGGCTGTGCCTGCAAGGTTTGTTTGTGCCAGCATTGGCATCCTGGTGTCCCTGGAGGTGGAGGTGATGCCAGTTCTAGTTCAGCTTCCAATTTACTCTCAGTTGCCTCCCCCAAAGGAAGACGCTCCTCCCTGGCAGGAAGAGGCAGCTCCCCAGCACCAGGTGTTGGGGTGACTAGGGGTGCTGGATATCACTGGGGCGGCAGACTCCACTGCCAACCCAGTTTGCCCCACCCCTGAATCAAGCTCTCTAGTCCTGGGCTTGGACATTTCTTGGGGTCCCAGTTTCACCTTCCCCATCCTGATAGGACCTTCCTCAGGATCATCCAGCTCCAGCTCCCTAAGCTCCTCCCATTGCTCCTCAGGATCCAACCATCCCTTCTATGACATCTCCATAGGCCTCATGCCAGTCACTGCCAACCAGTATTGACAACACTGAGCTGGATAGACCAATAATATGACTCAATATAACACTGCTTTCAATGTTCCTGTGTTCCTAACTGAGAGCATGATGTGCTGCCATCAAAAGGTCAGGGTTGCTCAGCCCACTCATATGACCAGCATTATTTTTCTTAGCTGTATGTAGCAGAATTCCAGCTCCATCAATAGTGCTGCTTCTTCCCCTTTGTCGCTTCCAAAGCCACTCATCTCTGCATTCTCCCCCACTTGACTTCTCCTGCCTGCTTTTCATTTCTCTTACATTCCGCACCTTCCTCTTTACAAGGCTAAAGTTGTCAAAAATAGAACTAGGTTGCGAGGCCTAAAAATAAAAATCGCACTGCATATGTGCAAAGATTTTTCAGAAATGAATGCTCCGTTAAATGCCAGGTGGTTTGAACTATCTTAAAATAAAAATTAGAGCTAATCTGAAGTGCTTGTTTTGTATCACTTCTCACCTAAACTTCTGGGAGGGTGAAAAGCAGACTTGTAGAACATCTATGAAAGTGAAGCCAATTTGATATGTATTTCTCAGATTCTTAAGGAAGTTCCAGTTAAGTACCAAAACCATGCATCTCTGTTCTAGGTGACAAAATATAGAGGGAAGGCATAAGCTTGCACATTCTGGATCAGAGATTTTGATTTTGGCAAGTGCTAGTAGATATATTTATGTATAATTGAACCGATTCTGGTGTGCATCTGTAATCCTGACCACGGGCACAATTTCAAGGTGGGTGGTGTGGTGGCGGCAGCGGTGGCATGATGGGGGTGAGTGTCCTGGATAGAAAAAGTTGGAGCATCTGGGAATAGCCTCTTCTTTTCCAATTATTTCATCTGTTGAGTTGCATAAAATGTAAATAATAGGTGGCATTATCATTTAGTCTCTTTTTGGAAACCTAGCTTATTTTTCAATGATTTATAAGCCACCTGACACAATGGGTGTCATCAGGATAGGACTTTGAGGCAGGCGCCCAGGGCCCTACTCAGCAGAAGGAGCTGGTGAGCTTCCAAATGTTGAAGGAAGTCAAGTGAATGCACGTTATCTTTTAAACTGGGGGGAGGAGTCCTAAGGCTGTTACACCCAGAATTCAAAATTGCCCGACTGCAACACTGACCCTACAACAATAGTTCTCTGGTCAGCATATAGGATCAAGCACTGGCAAGGCCCATTGCTGAATGATAGGGCATCTGTTTTGCATGCATAAGGTCTCAAGCACAATCTCTCTCTCTCTCTCTCTCTCTCTCTCTCTCTCTCTCTCTCTCTCTCTCTTTCTCCAGTGGCTTCCCACTGGAGTAGGGATAGCACAAGCCCTGTGAGAGCCCAGGGACCAGCAGAAGGGGCAGAGAGAACAGGCCCTTAATAAATCTGTTCTTTAATGCGTTTTAATGCCATTGCAACAAATGGACTGCGGTATACATAACTGGACACAGAAGTGCACTCTTCAGATTCTGCCTCTCAGCCACTAGGTGGCGCAACATCGCTGCTGTCCAGGCCTGGAGAGTCCTTAATACAGTATCTGATTTCATCAGTGTTGTATCAGAAGAAAGCTGATAGGAGAAAGGAAACAAAAAAAGAAAATTAACTTCGTAGAGGAATAAACAGGCACAGTGTTGACTTCAGCACTGCTAATATTGATTTATGCCAGCCGTGCGACTGGCCTGATGACGTTATTTGGGAAAAAATCCAACCAGCGTGTTTCAATATTATGCAATTTATCACATGGATTGAAGAGCATCCCTCATAATTCATCTGCTGCTAATACAGCGTGACTGGGTACTATGGAAACTGATACACAAAACTCTTGAAAGTGTACCTGATTCTATCAGGGTTCATACTGTAATCTCGGCAGGTATTTAAAATGGATGCACAGCCCTTATCTGTTTTCCGCACCCATGGCAGGAGACATTCAGGTGGAAAGTATTGGTGTGATCTGGGGAGCCTCATTCACACAACAAACAGGGAGCACCCAACAAGCAGAGAAGGGGTGATTGGCAGCTCAGTGGCAGACCCACCTTCCTCCAAGGGTCTCCATACATTCAACTAAAAAATCTGTACAGGATTGACAAATATAAGCTTTGTATTCATGATCAGGGTGATTGAGAAAGATCCTACATCTGGTCAAGTTGTATGTGCAGAGTCTCTTGCAAATCTTGGTGTGAATGTGCAGAGGTCACACGCAACATCATTTAAATAAAACAAATGAAATCCAAAGAGAAAAGAAACTGATAATTCACTAGTTAAAGTTAACAAAAAAATCACATAATATGGCAATATATAAGCAGAGGGCTTCTGTCTTTCCTTCAGGCCGTCTTAATTGCAAGAAGACATTCAGCAACTAAGCAAACCAGGAAAAACACCCTCGGAACTAAACAGCCAGCCAGAACTCATTGCCTCAGCAAGGATCATGCCAATCTGACTGGTTGCCAGGCAGCAACACCATCATCTTCTTGTTGGATGTCAACAGAATTAACCCTTAAGTTACCTAACTGAATGATTCCTGCTGTTGTGCTTCCAAATGACCCTCCTACCACAACCCTTTCCCCATGCATTCCATGTACCATAGGGTAGAACTGCCAATGCAAAGTTGGAACAAACTGGGAGCAAAGCAAATGCTTTCCTGGTTCAGACCAATAGTCCACCAGGAATAACAACCTGTTTCCAGTTGTGGCTGGCTGTTTCTGATGAGGCTTGAATTTAGGGACCAACAATTCCCTAAACCAATTCAAAAACTGGAAAACAGCAATGCAATTCCTTTGAACAACAAATATGCTTGATAGTTTGACAGCACACAAGAAGAACCACAGTTAACAGAAGCTAGATGAAATCAATATCAACAAATTTTTGCAATGTGGGTTTCCCACAGCACTCACGGGCCTTGAACTTGTTTATTCTTAAGCATTTGTATATGTTAGAGGTACTATTTACATGCCCTAATTAGTTGAGGAAGAAAATGTTTAAGGCAGTCCTTCCTCCTAGAAAACGAAGCTTTTGTTTTGCAATCGCAAGCATCTTAAACTTCAGAAACAATCTCTTTCCTTCAGAGTCCTCAAAAAGGCCTTTTCATGGAGGTTATGCAGTAAGTGAATATATGGGTTCATATTTCTTCAATTTAAAACTTTAAGCAATTGTCAGAACTAGATGTTTATTTCTTCACTTTGAGAATCCTGAAGGATAACTATGTTTTCCCCTGGGGTTGTGTGCGTGTGTGTGTGTGTGTGTGTGTGTGTGTGTGTTTAAAGGAATCCTGCCAATGGTTTCCTCCCCACATCTTAAAACACAGTCACTCCAAATGTCCTTGGCCTAATTTGATCTCCCTTACCTGTTTTGCTTTGTAACAGAAGTACGATTATGCATCATAGGGATGTCAGCATTTCAGCATCACTAGGCTCTAGTATTAATAAATATGTTCATATTATGACAGAAAAAGGTGATATAAAATCTAAACAGCTTTATTGTATGTTCAATTTCTATAACAAAAGAAATAAAAACAACAGCTTTTTGCACTTCCAGAGAAGTATGTACGTTGTTACACATTTTGTAAGATGTTACAAAAATATGTAAGATGTTAGACATTTTGTCAGAAAGAGCTCTTTTAAAAAGTGGATAAACATCACATTAAAATACTTTGATTCAGAGTAAGTGATGATGTCAGGAGGGTAAAATGCTCCTATTACTCCCATCTCTATCTC